TTAAAAGAGGAAGAATTTAACCTGGATAATTCAGGCGCCTGGTACTATTTAAAGATATTTGATGTGAATAAACTGATCAAGTGATCATTCTATCACATTATTGTAAAGGTAGTTTTATTCAATGGCAACAATTCATATTTTTATCGTCAAAGAGCCCTTTAATAAATATGATTATTGTCTTTATCTTTTGCAGCATGGTAGCTGAAGGATATCTTTTCGAGCCTGTAAAAATAACATCCGAATGCCAACCTAATCAGATTGTAATGAAGTTTAAAAAGTTCCGCATTATAGAATAAATTGGTTATCATGATAGTAGTTTCGTAGTATCATAGATACAAAGGTTACTACATAAGTTTTAAAAAGTAAATTAAAATGAAATATGACTGGTGTTGATAAGGTAGATATATCGAATTAGTAGAACAGCCAAGTGCTAAAGTTATCTAATGTTAATGATATTTCATTAATTAATCAAAAATTGTTCAAATCCTGCTACGCATATAACTACTATCCATTTGATGTATTTTAGTCCACTTTATTGGTCTATGCAGTATAATTTATATCATGCAATATGCCAATCATGCAGTTAATTAATTAATCATTATGTAATACAACTGTTGGATGAATCATTGTTTGTATTTCGTTTTAAATTTAGATATTTTTAAATATATCTAGAAAACTTTTGATGCCTTATAAAAAGACGTCATCTACCGATATGAGGGTTAATAAAGGAGTAAGCTGAAGTCGTAACACCAAAATAATAATTAAAATAATGGTAAATGGTAACTTTACAACTTCATTTTATATCTACGTATGTTGATTGAATATTTTAAATTTTTAAATATTAGATTATTCCCCAAAATTAAATGGCCTTGTTTGTCTTTACTATACAAGAATATGTGACTCATCGCATTTTTATCTTTTCTTATATGTTAGAATTTATGACCATTTCTACCAAATAAGAATTCAAACGATTTATGAAAGTTGCACTTATTATGACAATTCAGATTACGGTACCATTAGCAATTCTTATTTTCGCAACTTTATCTACTGTTCACATTATAGCACGCACCTAAAATAAATATCTAAATCCATTATGCTAAATATAAAGCAATGGAGTTAGAATTACATAACACATTATGAATAGCTAGCGCTAATATATCTTATCGAATTTCATTTAATGAAAGCAGTTAAAGCTCCCAGTCAATTAAACAATGTAGTATAAACATTTTAAATATTACCTATTTCAGAAGATTGAAATAGGAAAAGCTTTATTTAGATGGAAGAATTTTACACTTATTGCTTCAATATTAATCCTTATTCTGACTACTGCATAGACATGCCAAGAAGATCATAATATTTTCTATATATAATTTAATGCAAAGGTCTTTTTAAAGATCTTCTGATCTTTAATTTTTATCCACGTGTAAATTGAACCCTAACCTCTCTCCATTAGTATCATATTTCTATAAGCAGTAAATTGAGAGTTTACTTTCGTTATAAAATAACCATGTAATGAAAAACCTTAATTAATCGCACGAAAGATTAATTTTTTATGAAATTTAGACTAGACTCATAATCAATAATCAATTAAATATATTTAATAATTCTAGACGTTAATATCTGTCTGGGATAAAATAATGATGAAATACGAAATAAACAATCCTACTGTATAGGGTATAGAAGGTATGCAGTATGAGTCATAGATATCTAATACCTATAGACGGTATCACGTTTAAGATGCTATAGTAATAAGTAAATTATATATAAATGATGGCATTCTTACTGGTTATATCACTAGCTTCGAGGTAAATTGCCATCGAGATAGTATTTTTCCATCCATATTAATCATGTCTTCTGCTGTGTCACTGTATGATATATATATATTTTACTTTCATAAAAAATGAAGTCGCCAACATTGAATAGTTAGTTATCATACCTAAGTACTGTAGTAATAATGCAACGTATAGATGATCAAACGATAGCTACAGTAACTGTCATCATCAACTCCAATTGTATGCCCTAGTATGTAATATATTGGATTTTTGAAATTTTTTAACGCCAAATATACTGTAGAGTCATCAATATTTTAATAATTATTACTAATATTAAATTATTGCTAATTTATCGTTAAGTAATTGTAGGCGATGGCTGCAATTAAATGATAGCATTCAATTGAATATATTAGGTCATCCTAAATTGAATTTAATATTATCTGAAACTATTGTGATTATGCAGACGACGCCACCTTATCAGTAAAATGATGATAAAACTAAAACTAATAGGTTTGAAGGAGGAAATAATAATCTAGATCAAAAATATATATGCCCACGCTTTAAGGTAAAAGAAGATAGCACTGTAGCATAAGCGCCCAACTGTCAAAATTATTTTCATCAATTATCTGCAATAAGATGATTAATCATCATCAATGTTAATAATTACAAATGCAAAGATGATTAAGAAACAAACTTAATTTGACATAACTGTTGTTACACCAACGTAATCCGTTGTCAGTCATGGTGGCCTATTATTACTGGTATATATAGACTACTGAAGCTGATATAGTTGATAATAGAATAACGAATTCAGAATTGATCTTCAAATTAGCCCCTCCTATCAATAAATCGACCTATATAATCATGTTTGTTTTACTATATTTTCCTTATATTTTATTGACATATAATCCCCAACTAAGTACGCCATGGAGTTGATTATATTATTAGTAGGGCGGTAAGAACACAGAAGATACAGCTCATCCAATCAAATGTGCTCTGCATAAAGTGTGACTGCACATTTTCTCAATATTTTCTAGTTGATGTAACGTTATCTTCCAACTTAGTCTACCAAAACAACATCTTTTAGTGTCTTGATTTGATAAGAAATGAACAACTCGACCTCACCAATGGAATAAAATTTAATACGTGAGGAAGTAAAAACAGATGATAGAAGATTGGCAGATTACTTACTATCTCGACCCATTACTTTTTCGTACACGTACCACCTGTCTCCTTATTCTCATGACCTCAGAGTAGTTATCTTATTGTTTCCAGCCTTATCACATGCAATTTAATAAATAAAATAGTATTGATGGCTGTCTTTAATGTAGATAAAGTGAGACAACAAAAATCTACTTAAGTAGTAAGAGTTGATTAATCAAACGCTAAACACCCAGGTAATCACATGCGCTGAAATCCGTCAGGTCTAAAGTACTGTAGTGTATGCACACATACGACGGAGTTAAAGTTGACACACCTCCTGTCCTACCTTGAAAAGAATAAGGTATAAACGATGCATAATAGTACCTAACTGTAAATTAACTCCCCTCCTTTCTCGTCATGAACTTACTGGCATTATTTAAACTGACAGATACAGTTTGCGATATATTTTCTAGCCTGTCTGGATTTTATGATAAGCAAGGGAGTTAATTGCTCTTGATTGATATTGTATCTCCCCCCTGCAGTGTCTACATGCTTGAATAATACAAGTTGACCAATGATGATGACATCGATCTAGATCTGATTGAGACAATTTTTTGTCGCTTCTGACTCTTTGACGTAACCGTATCAGTCATAGTGATTTAATTAATGTTTTAAGTAGGTAGACAGATACATTCGAATAAAAAGCTTAATATTTTATTGCGCGGATGAGACAGCAATAATAATAAATAATATAATCAATTCATCATTTTAGTTATCGTCGATTGTTCTATTTTCACTAAATTGTTAACTGTTGTGTCGCTAGCCCTGGCTGGAGTACCGTAATAACAAGTTATTTTTTAACTCTTTTCCAATAATATGATACCAATATAGTAGCATTTTAATCCTGTCAATGCGCTATTAATCATATCCTATCAACATCATTTTAAACAATTTCTTCAATTAATTCTAAATTACTATACTACTACTAGATAGTTAAAAAATATTTTTAATATAGCTTTTGCATTGATTCTCCATAATGGAAAATGAATTGAAGATCCTATGGCTGTCATTTAATATACGTTATCGAGTATAGATTAAAAAAAGTGAATAAAGATTGGCTGAAAAATGAATTCTTTGATGAAAAGTATTTTTCCACTAATTGACTGTACATCGATTATTGATGTCTGCAAAATTTTAACTTAGCTGTTAATAGTGTCGGTTGATAACGATCGAGGTTAAGATAGTCAATATTTCAACATAGATATTAAAGTCTATGCTTCATCATTGAAGTTTGTATTAGCTCAACATTTAATAATTGCATTGTTAATAAAGGTTGGAATATTGATTATTTTAATAATATCATCTCATTTAACTATCAATAGAATAAAATAGTGCTAAAAGAATAGACAACACTGCAAGAATCTATAGTAAATTCCATTGTTTTCATCGACAATAAACCTAACACAAACACAAGCTTATCACCAGCCGTGACTCAAAGTCTATATAAGCAGATGACATCGTGCTAATTAGCTCAACTTGCAAGTTTACACAGCATTGGATGAAGTCATTGCTTGATTTAGTCAGTCTTACACTATCAAGAACTTCCATTACAAGCCACTACCTAGAAGATAATTCTCATCGTACAGGCAAGGCAAACATTTTATAACTAATACTACTTCCTCAACATAGCCCCATTCCATTAAATCGATTTGGCCCATTTTCCACGCTCATCTTGAAGACTTTTCCTTCTACTTTCATCTCAGCTATCATTTTTTCTCCCTTGATCGTTTTTATCCAATTTGAAAAAGTACTGAATTAGAAAATCGTCTTCATAATCTAAGTTTTTTTTCCTTTGGTTACTTCCTCCTCAAATCTTCAAATTTGTGCGTGTGTGTTAGTGCGCGCTTGTTGCATCCAAATTCCTTTTTATTTCTATACCTAAACTTGTTGACAACACCTTACTAAGCATTTCAAAAGATATAAACTATCCCGTCAAATAGCGTTTTTTCTCCTGCTTTTATATAAGTCTATTCATATTGGTTGACTCTTGATCCCTTTGATTTCGTGCCGATGATGGTAGAAAAAATGCCTTTTACCGCTTATGTTGTCTTAGCCATGACGATAGTCTGGGCTACCACCTGTAACCATGTTGCCTTGTCGGCTTCGGTCAGAAATAATATACCTAAAGCTGGCGACAAGAACGCTCTTGGTGGTAAACTTGCAAATATGCCATTATTTCGTACATTGGATACTGATAACAGTGAAACTACCACAGATCAAAAAGATAAAACTGATGCAAAGGACGATGACAGCCTCCTTTCAGATCTTAGCAAAATCAATGTAACGCAATTTCGTATCGATAGAATTAAAGCTAAGATTCTACGTAAAATACGCTTAACGGAACCTCCCAAAGTTGGTGACGACTTACGTGATCGGGTAGTACCGAAACAAATTTTTAATTTAAACTATCAAGTTGAAGAGTCTCGTCACGATCCTGAAAATATGGATGAAACTGAATTCTACGGCAAAACAACTCAATTATTCGTTTTTGGTGAACACGGTAAGCCAAAAAATGATTTACGAGCATTTTTATACGCGTTACTTTCATTACTTATAGCTTCTCTCGCTGTTTTATCTCTAAATGCTGCAAATTGAGAAAATTAGCACAACATCACTTACGTCTATAGATGCGAGTATGTATATGTCATACAGTACGTACAGTAGATAAAGTTATAAATGTTGCCCTTGACATTTAATACCATACACATACGTACACATATAGGTTATAATGCTAATTTCAACCTAAACACTTTGCATACCAACGTACATGGGCAATATATGGAATAATTAAATTAAAAAATGGAATACTGTAGACATTTTATAGCATCTATTATTGTATTTCAACTTCGATAGAGATATGGATAACCATCAAATATTAAATCAATTTCATAAAGCTTCCTTTTTTACTTTCTGATTATTTTTTTCCGTATCTAATTACCGATTAATCTCTTGCGTTGAAACGATTACCGATTCAAAGTGACAACTAATAAGATTAATATTGAAATAGATAGTTCAATGCCGTGCCCAATCATTTTAACCTTATGAATAATCTATTATTGATTCATAACATTTTAAATTAGTAAAACAATACACCGCTGTTGTCTGTTTTTGTCTTGTGATAGGCTACAATCGAAATATTTATATGACGATAATTACGTTATAGTTAAGTAGTTTCAAAAAAGGGAGGATATTAAAACAAAGGTTATTACTGTAATATAAGATTAAAACTATGTAGATCTTAACTTTTACTAACAAAATACGTCTTAAAATAATGAAATCGATTTCATATGTTAAATTAATAGTCATGCACTAGTAGAGTTAACAGTTTGGAATGAGTTTCGATCAATTTTCTATTTACCTTCCATTGTGGCATTCATATACAGGAAAAGGAACAATTTCATTGATTTTTTACAGTACTTTTAGATAGCGGAAAGTAAAAAAATTACGCATGCAAGTTTTTTTGTTTTCGCAACGTTAGCCACAATATGGAGATTACAACTCAGAGGAGATGGCGCCAGTGGTTGTTACTGTTTTTTTAATTTTCAACATGTCAATACCACATCCTATTTTTTTATGCAATACCTAACTAGCAAGTATAATTGTTATTAGTCCAACTTAACCCTTTTCATTCAATCTATACAATTTCGCCATTTAAAGTTAGCGATTAGTACTGTTTCCACTAGCTGAATTGATATTTTCATCGTCGTAGCACGGACATCATATTCATATACGGATTCCTTACTTTATCCTTCTTTGTTGTCCTTTCCTCACTTCATAGTTCTTATTGATCACCATCAATTAATAGTATTAGAGTCAGGTCGTAAGTTATTAAAATTAAAATGATTTCTTAGCATCACTGATAGCGTTGATGTTCATTGACTTCTTTGTTTCACCTTCTCCTACTGATATCTCGATCACATTTCGAGTTACAGCTACGATAGTTGTGTTTCAATGTGAAGTTATTTGAATCGTGTTGCACGAGTTAGTTTGTACTTCTAGGCAAGAATAATATTTTAATCTTGAGATAACTTTATTCCATGATACTAATATCATGAATAATATTTTAATCTTGAGATAACTTTATTCCATGATACTAATATCATGATTGTATAGGGTACCAGCTCACATGTCTAAAGATAATCCGATTAAGTGGTTTATTTATCAAGTTGAAATAGTTTACTGTAAATGCCGACTGAATTTTTTATGACATCTTTTAACGTATACGGAGAATGAAACAATTCTTTTAATTGACAGTCAGGACAAATAAGTTAATCAATTAGACATTTTCACCCTCGTGCTATGGAATTCCTGATTTTTTCCCACCGATAATGACTTTTAAGAATCCTTCCAATCATTAATCCGTTCTTTTATGCTAATAGACGTTTTATAATCTGACTATACAGTAAATTTTAATCAAATAACACCTATGATCTTTTTCCCACGTATAATATTTTGTATTGGTTGAGGCAACAAGTAAAACTTTATGTTAATATTTGTTATCAATTTAGTGTATTGAATTTTTTGTAATTGACACCGTTGGCATGTTTTTTAGATGAATACTTCTTTAATTTATCAAATTAACGACGTTATTATAATAGAATCAATGTAAGCGAGCCTCTATTACTCGCCCTCTCCGCTGGAGATGGCGAACAGTGACAGTCTATCTCTTTTTTTTGCTTTTGTCATCATAATAGTCATTAAACAAAAACAACAACAACAACAAATATGATGAAATTAAATGATGCAAATTTGGATCCAAATGGCATAAAAAAATGAATTAAATGCTTTAATTAAGTTAAACTCGATGTGATATTGGTAGTTTAAGGTTCTAAGTTGAATAATTAACATTCCATACCACACCACATGTTGTTCTAATGTTCTATAGTTAAATCTTGATTACGCTGTTATTAATCAAAACATTATTCGAGTGGCACCATCAAATTAGCGGTACTAAAAGGTTAAGGTGGCGCACGACTATTGCATCTGATCTACTTACTGTCATGGAACTTCCTTATTCTATTCTTCATTTTCATACTAGCATATTACCCACATTTCTCTTTATTGTAAGAGCATACAGAGCGGAATCAAAAGAGTTTCACCTTAAAAAATAAGTTGTTGAATACAGTTCGCAAATAGGATACTAGTAGAGCATACTTCAGTACTTATTTCTTTATTACACAGATAGCCATAGCAAGTTCTAAGCTAAACAGATTAAGTGAAATTCTTCTTTATGCTATCTTTATTTTTATTTTTTTGAATCGGAGTAGATAAAATTCATTAGTCAATAGTTTGATAAAGTATAATGAGGCCAGTGGCGCCTTAACTTAATTGACAGACAATTTAATTCATAGTTGATACTTCACTTCATTATCCCTCATCCTTTTAAATACTAAATTGCTATTTAGAATCATTCTAAAAAATTTTTGACGTCATAAACTACGACAAACGATGACTTATTTTGACTACATATAATTATTTCAATTATGCAATGAAAATATGTTTAAAAATGATATTTTGCGCTATAATAAATTTAACTGGAACATTCGTTATTGTAAAATGCTAATTAAATCTGAACAACATTGGCTTAAAAGCTGCTATTTTTACCTTTAGACTAAATTTTTCTTGCTTTCTATTTATCTATTGATATCCTTTAGTAACAAAACACTGCAAGAAACATGCCTGTTTCGATTTTATATTCTCTCATCATCTCATGGAAAAGTTTATCTATTCAGCGGAATTATGGTTCTATCCAGTAACCAGCGAGAGCGAATTATTAAAGGTCTACCGTAATGATGCGAATGGTAAAACTTTTATCACATCCCGCTATTCCAATATCTCAAGATATAACGATGGATGGATTAACATCGATGTAACGTCAGTAGTTAAAAATTGGTTAAATGGTAATGAAGGTCTGTTAAATAGTATCAAGATTTCCTGCAAAACATGCAAAGACAAGGAAATCCCCTTTATTGGCACTACTGGTGCATTAAAACCCTTTTTATCTATTAACACAGCTAAGCCAAAATCAAATCCAAAATCGGGAATAGAGAATTTCTTTAAAAGCAGTAGCTTTAAAAGCAATAACTTTAAAAGCAGTCCAGTAAATGCATGTCGTAAACAATCAACTCATTGCTGCGTCGAAGAATTCTATATTAACTTTAAAGAAATTGGTTGGTCAGATTGGATTATATCACCTCAAGGCTATACTGCTAATTATTGTCGTGGCACATGTTTTGGTATGGATAGTTTTGGCTATCGGTTGAAAATTTTACAAAAGCTGTCAGAAGAAGATAATTCGCTCATTCCTTGCTGTTCACCCGGCAAAATGTCCTCGTTAACCATCATTTATCAAGATAGTAACGGCTATTTACACTCCGTTATTTTACCGAATATGAGAGTAGAACAGTGTCAATGTTTCTAGCCTATATCTTCAATCACTAATATAATGAACCTGGAAATTAGGATACACCATTAAATTTCTAATGTAATTTTTCTTTGATTTTTCCTTCTGACCTAAGTTTAATACAAATATCCGTTCTTGCAATTATGTCCATAGTAGAATTAAAAAAAATAGCTAATTCTACGAAAGAGTAAGACGAGAAATCGAAATGGTGAGTACAGCCTAAACATTTATACAACGATATCAAATTTAGTTATGCAGTGGAATATAATATAGCTGCGATAAAGAAGAATAATAAGAGAGAGGGCGAGAGAGAAAAAAAGAGGAAAGAAAGACAAAAGAGAGATAAAGGAGAATAGTTATTGCCGTCTCTGCAGTGAAAATTTTATTCTCCATCGGTAGATCTTAATCGCCATCAAGATATCCGATTACCCATATTTAATCACGTTAGTATATAAATGGTTAATAGGATTGCTATTTGAAGGAAATCTCTAAATGACTCCATATTTTCCAAGATAACTCTACGAGTTAATAATAATTTGCAAAACATTATGCTATGATAAATCAACACGCAACAAATTCTGCTGACAAAAGTAAATTTGTTTTCCTGGTTATATTTTAAACCTTCAATTATAACATAAGAAAAGAACACTAATAACAACTGCAATAGTGATATGTAACCGGTACATAATCAAGGCATTATTTTACTTCACTAGAAGATATGGAGAGAAGCTATAATAAATGTTGTATTCCGTACTAATTTTAACCGTCGGTATCTTGGTATGATATGATATTGTTGTTTTTTCATCATCCATCAATTTCAAGCTATGACGTCAAGAGCAAATATTGTAACCCGGTTAATCATGCCAATTCATGTTTAACGTTATATTCATTATTTTTTAAAAATAATTTCTTTTATTTGTTTCTAATTAAGGTTAAAAAGTCTTTCAATATCTTCAGTATGTTTTCTCATGATTGCCAAGTATCTACAATTCATGTTATCTTTTAAAAAGAAATCATGTTTGTTTCCTTCTGTCATGGAATAGATTGGAAGATGTTGATAAATAAGTTAGTTAATCAATCTTCAATTAACGGTGTTAATTAATTAATTAATTACGGTAATTAATTAATTCATTCTATTATTATCAAGCTGAATGCTGGCATGCCATGAAAGTTGTTGAATTTGTTTCAATTATTTTTCCGCCTGCATACTGCTTAACACCTAGTTAGCAACATTCTAGATTATAAGTTGCATAACTGTTTCTGAATTTTGGATTCATTTCAGTTCTATGTATTCTAATTATTCTTAATAATTAATATTAAAAGGTATTCTTAAGTTTCAGCATGATCGATAATGATTAATATCTTTGACGTGAAAATGATAGAATTGCTATTTGGCAATTTTTCATCAATACAATGCAATTTAAAAGCTATTACCTTATTTAAATAACATTTGAATCAATTCTGCCATGCTACATGTTAAGAAATTATAAATTTGAAGATTCGCCATCTTATCATGTTATCATGTCCTAATATTTGCTCATCCATAGATCTTGCATGAATGAAAGCATTGTTATTCGCCATTTTCTACAAGTGAAAACTATTCTTGAAATTGATTTAACTTTCTGCCTTCATTTCTATTTGATTCCACTGATAATAATTATAATCTAATTGCAATATTATAACCGGTATTAATAATCTATTATAGCAATGATTGCTGTTATTCCTTTCATAGAGGAAGATTGTAAACAATAAGATGATAAGTTTGAATTATTTCTTTCTCGCCAGGCGTACATTTATATCATACAGGGTAATGCTGGTTTTACCTTTAGGTGATTACTAATCATAACCATTTACTAACTTTATTCGCTATACTACACTCGTATTTAGAACTGCTACCGTAAAGCTTTTTTGTTTTATTCTTGTCTACTTATAGTGATATTTAAAGAGTTATTACATTTATCTCATACTATCGCTATTGTATCAATTTTATTCAGTGGTCTTTATTTGATCAAAACACTTGAGTATTGACATGGCTCGCCATTATGATGGCCGCAACAGAATGTATTCCTTCTTTAGCATGTACTCATTCACTTTTATTTGATATCATGCCTATGTAAGTTTAGCATTACTTCCGATAAGTGAAAAGTTTACTATTGTAAGCAATTCAAGAAACTTGTAATATGTCCGTGTTGATTATTATGGTTTGAATAGTATTCTAAGCTATAAGCTGTTTAATATCATAGCTGTGCTAATTTATCAATAATTACATGGCCTTGATTTACTATTATCACTATAACCGCTACATAAATGTACTTTATTAATTTTTTTACCTCTCTCATTACCATTCCTGTGCCTTTTCTGATTTCATTACATCCTATAATTGGATTCATCTGATCTGATACTGATCACTATTATGATAATATCAAATTATTTGATAACATTTTTAATTGATAATTGTATTTACATGATGATATCGAATCGGTTAATGCCAATAATAGTTCCAATAAAGGTTTCCCATCTAATGGAAGATTGTATTAAAAAACCTTTGTCTTACAGTAATATGTGTATAATCCTTTCAAAGCAATTCGGGTAGCAATTCTTACGGTTGATACGTTATCATCGTCTCAAAATCAAGTTAAATAAATTATATTATGGTAGTAACTGATTTAAATTAAAAATTCATTTATTATATTAATGTTTAAAATTTATATTTTAAAAAGCATCAATTAGAAACTACCGCTAATGCTACTTATTTTCCTTTTCAGAAATCTTAGTAGTGGATAAAATTGCAGATAGTCATGATAATCAGGGACTATCAAATATTATACGTTGTTTGATAACTTCAACCGAAAAACGCCTTATTTATATGCATGACTACATTCATAATGCGTTTAGTACTTGGGTATAATGACTAAACAGTTAATTTAGCACCCAAATTTTTTAGCAATTTACACGCCTACATATGAAAGAATATATCATTTACAATAAAATATGGATAAATGGATGCTATGGATAAGTTTTTCGTTTGGTTAAACTTCGCATAAAATCTTGAATACGATGTAGATCTACTGTTCACGGTGTAAATAACTATGACATGAAAAGTGCACGGTTTCCAATTACATCCCAAAATTAATTAAATTATTAACAATAGAGTGTTAACTCCCAACTTAATTACAGAAGGTATGACATCACTGCGATAATTAGCAAATGATGCGCGATATGTTCGAATAATAGCTATAAATCTTGTATAAGAATCATTTATACAGCAATATACCGGATTACATAGAGAGTAATTTGGTAAGGCAAAAATATAAATGTGCGAACTATACACCAATCTATGCAAAATACTGCTGATTGATATGGTTACTAACGCTTTTCACATAATTTACATGGGTGATGCTATAAAATATCGAAATTAATTGCATTACAATTAAATACCAAAAAAGTTACTCTGAACATTTATGCTCGATTAATAATTATTATAATATACAGTAAAGATATGACTACAGCAAGTATTGTTGCGCTGTCTATCCAATTACTAATCATCCCAGGTCCTCATATCTGTATCAATTGACGTACAATTATATGCTGCATAGAGCAGCTTTTCCTCGGCTACCTTGGGACTGTAAAGTGACATAGTGTTAGATAATTTTTCACTAGTATTTCAAGAAGTAGGAGTTACATTTCAATGATTATGAGACTTTTGCACTAGTAATGAAAGAAAATCTAAGTAAAATATACCTAGTATATTCCGGGAGAAAAAGAGTACTAGAACAAGTTGCTGATTCAGGCAAAGAGTCTTCAGCGGCTCCACTAGATATGATTGTAAGGTATAAACATTAGGTAGGCTAAAGTTTAACAGTAAAAGCTGTATAGCTTCAAAAGTTAGATTTTACCTTCTACTCGGGCAAATAAAAAGAGGAGCAGGCAAACGCCTCCTACCAGTGACAAATCTTAACAATCTGCTTCTATCTTCTACAATCATAACGATATATTGGCTTGTATAATTGTAGATGTCTATAAATTCAAGTTAACTAGAGTAAGTTTTATAAAACTCGTACCATTCGAAAAATTCTCTAGTGCCTTCCAGAAATACTTCACTCTCGAATCATCGACTTCAATGTCTTCATAGCGAGCTAAACATTAAGTCATTTAAACCTCAATTATAAGCATTAATACAAAATTTTTTTGCTCCAGTTATTAACTTAGGATATTTGCAAATAACCGATATTCTTCAACTCTTGAACAGTTATTTCTGGATTTCCACAAATTCTTTTTTCCAGTTCTTGCCAAGTAAGTATATGTAATACTGCTTTTGGTATCACCCTCAATAACCCTTTTTTTATACTTCGAATCTGTGACATGCAATAGGTGCAAGTTAGATAAGTATCTCAATGTATAGCTTTTTACTCGATGATATTGTACTTAGGATGTTGATCTACACCTGGTCATCAACTTCATGAAGTCTAGCTTCGCGAACAAGCTGAACGTAATGCAGTCTGTCTTCATATAGCACTGAAGTCTCTGATCCATTAGATTTTAAATCAACTGTTGATCCATCACTAAGGTTCTTCGATAAATGCAAGAAATAAAAATTGTAAAAATATGAAATATGAAAACTTAAAAATACAAATATAGAAGTACATACTGTAGAATACGTTAAGGCATCAGCGTAATCATTGTTAAACCTTTCTTCACTCATTGATTCCAAAGCAACCAAGAGTCTGACTATAGCTTCGTCAACTGTAGAATAATCTTCCCAGGTAACAACTTCTCCGGTTAATTTTTTCCATATAAATGATGGCAGTGATAATACTAAACACTCACGACTACGAAAACACGCGCCCATAAGTTGTCCAATCCATTCATATTTGGTAAATTCTTTGCAGGCAGGGTTAGGAATGTAGCCATCACGATGAATATTAGCTGCATCGTGCGCCTTAGCGTACGTATAACGATTACGAAATGAATTAGTACGAATCTTGATCTAGGCTTCATGAGACTTTTGATTACCTGATTACAGCTACGGATGAAAAATGGTAAAGGTATTTGAACATCTTCAGCACTTGGACATAATTCTTCGGCGATATCAGCAAGAGAATCACGAAAGCCTCCACCTTTAAATAAATTATAAGATTTAGAGCTACAATCGCGTACAATTTAGTTGCATAATTAAGATAGATGTACTGCTAGTTTGGAAAATATTAAATGAAAGACGTCAAAAGTTTTCCTGACCTTGATCGATGATACCTTCAGATACAAATTTACATTCCCACCATTGTTCGTATTGTATAGACCATCTGACAGGTATTAATAGTACTTATTAATTAATTCATGATATAAGAGATCTAATTTATGACTTGCACATTAATCAATATGCTAACCGATAATCTAATCGAAATCTACAATTTTCTGGCCTTAGTTCGTTATATAGCTGAAATTGAAAATAGTTAGTAAATAAATAAGAGAGTACGTACAGGATAGAGTGCAAATAAGAAACCTGGTTAAAAAGAGCATTTTCCGCGGTAGGATCGCGGGATGTATCACTTTTGTGCTCGGAAGCTAATCGTCGGTCGAGATAAACTTTGGGAATTGGTTCAGGAACGCATCTACAACGGAAAAATTACTATTACTATAGTACATCTTCAGCATGCTAATTAGGTCAAGGAAAGCAGGAAAGTGTGCTGTATAATCAAATGATAGTTACTTAGTTTGGGAATCTCTGAGTAATCTTTCAATTAAAGCTAGCCTCCGTTTCGATAGCTGTAATATTTGTCTAACAGCCTATTTACAAGGAAACATCATGAGAATTTACAAACTAATTTGAAATACATTTACAGTATCGCAAATATGACTATACCTTAAAGTTACAAATATTCGTACACTCTTCTGACCAATCTGGAATTACCAGATTAATCACACTGTCAAATAGCTCGTTAAATCTATATAACAAACAAATTCAGCGAATAAATGTCATTTTATTATCCACATGTTTGCATGGCTTTATCCTAAACTATAAATGCTCTTGGCTATGTTTACGAAATTAACTGTAAAATTTTAATACCTTAAAATTGCCATTGAGCGATAATATAATGCTTCTGGATTAAAATTTGCCAAAAGTGGAAATCTGTAGATAATCCAAGATCAATTTCAATATTATACAGCTTTAGTCGATAGAAAGTTTCTCTAACATACCTCTCTATCTTTTTGTTTTTGAGTAAGTCAATCGTTAAACTACTGGATATATCGGAAGAAGTTATGATCTTAATACCATGAATTCTGGTATCAATCCCTTCATCTAGATCGAATGAAAAGTATTAGCATATAATGTCAATATAATCATGTACTGCACAATTTCTAAATATACCTTTGCATTCTTTAATTCGTATTTCTATTTCTGGTAAGTATTCGGCCATATCTTGCAAAATTGTAACATCTGACATTTTGGTGCTATGTAATATAGTAAGTAAAACCACATTAATCTGTATCAAAATATCGAGTAAACTGAAAAATATATTAAAATACCAGTCCATTAGGACTTCGGCCATTTTTCTCATATCATCATGATCGCCACCTTTCACTTCGATTAAATGCGGCATATAATTATCATCGTTGGGATCGACGGTTACAAGTAGGCATCTGTAAAACATAACAGGTAGACGGTTAATAGTTAAAAAGTGAGATAAATTACTTCTAAAAGAACGGGTGACACTTTGCATTTAAGTAAATGCTTTACATAGATACAGCTGATCGCGTATAACGTACTTAATTATAACTCCTTTCTTTATTCTTAATCTAATCCAATGGCATCCCTGTGAGCCGTCAGATTCCCAATAAGAAGATTGATTACCATCTGTCAACGCATCCTTGTCTTCTTCCATCTTACATAAAGCAATTGTTTATGATTTATTATCAATCCAAGCAACACTTACAAAATATTCGGCCTTTTACAATGCATCATATTTTTGATCGGAAAGGTCAAAGTTCTAAATTTACCGAAGAAACAGCAATACTTTCAACATAGTCTTTTAGATTTCCATATGCAGTGTTCCCATTATCCATATTTTCTGATAAATAAGTAGCTAATAATTTATTGTGTTCTAATTTCCAATTTTTAGGTGGAATACTAAGTTTGTGTTCTAATTCCACATCACTTGGTGGTAAGGTGAAAGGATATAATAACTGTAACGAATATGCATTTTCAACGGCAATTTCCCACCTGTTACAATATCAGAATAACCAAAGTACTTTTAAATTAAGAGTTCATATATCTACCATAAAGCAGCATTTAAGTAACATTTAAAATATGATTTAGAGAAGAGAAGCGCAATATGTATACTTATATACTAAAGTCTCTTAATAAATCTATACAGCTTTGTTAAGAACATGGTATCTTATAGAAACACTTGAGGTTAAAATCTTAATCTGTAAACATATAAAGATAGCAACAGTTATCACAACATTAGTTGATCCACTCTAGACGATGTAATCACAAGTGCTTTAAATGCAAAAATAAGCAATGTCTGTTTTCGAAGTTTTCATATAGTCTTCATGAGTGATTTTTACGAAATATTGATCGTAAATACAGCATTTATACATAGACGTTCAGAAGAATGTTTACTACATCAACACTGTTAAAGCTGAAAATTTAGATTTATATTACAAAATACGTACATATTATTGTATTGGATTTAAAAATATTTGTATAGTTGATCCCTGTTTGGCTGTAAATATCTGACTAGACTAAAACAATATGGCTTTTGCCATTTGTATTGAAGTCTCAGCTAATCATATATAGCTGAAAGTATACGGTATTGGGAAGATTGATGCAATTGCAATTAACTTTCTTAAGTTTGTAATGACAGTAGCCCAACTACCACAATACGAATACTCATTATTACGCAAGGGATGCTGAATAAGAATAATTAAAGCGATATAGCTAGTTATCTTGCAAATTGATAGACACTGGCGTAGTTACTAGCTTTAGGAACTGATCATATTCGAATTTAATTGTCTAATAATGTGTAATAATAAAAAGTAGATAGATGGCAATTTAGAATGTCTTGAAAAAAACAGCATAATATTAATAGTAGTGAACTACATGTTATAACGCGGGTAATACTATACATACGATATTTAAGATATACGAAATATTTATTCACGGAATTCAAGTCTGATGATCCTAGTCTTTTACTAGAATAATTAATTACTAAGAACTAGCCTACTGTATATTACCTTTCATGACATGAAAAGGAAAAATGATCTAAATTGAACTATTTAGTCGAATTTCACAATATCTAAGCACACAAAATTCAGTACAGTACATGTGCTAGTGCACCATTGGATATGTGTGATTACTTTAATAGCTGCGTGGATCTTAAGATGGTTTATTTAACACGATATGCAATGTTAAACTGGGAATTGAGACGTAAAATCAAATGATACACTGTACTGTACTGCATGAATGTCCAGTACTATCAGGGTATGGATTAATCCATGACTAGAGACTTTTAATATCTTATGTTCCATACCGAATGGAATATATTTTTAGATTTGCTATTGGCTTACCCGTTTCGTTCGAGTCTACAAGCTTCAGTACTATCAGGTAGTGCCGAATAATCAAGCTGCAACGGAAAACCATTTCCTTTAGGTCTGCTATTGCTGTCAGCATGAAAATTATTACTTGATGAAACAAGGATCCAACCCTCGTGTTCCTTTCCAAAGTACTGATGATCTTGTCCTGCCTATCAATTATTTTGATCAATCATGTCAAGTATTCATTTCTCACTGCAGTTATTATAAGATTGCATGACGCTCGTGACCATTTCTAAGCCATCACAACACTAGCATTATTTGTTTATTGCGATTTGTAGTATTAAGCACAAACAATTACTACCATCACATATAGTACAGTACAGTACAGTAATTAACTGTGCAAGAAATGATTGTCGATTTACAGTTGGTATTGAGGTATTTGCGATTTATCAAAGAATTTTACACCAAATACTAAATCCATCTTGTAGTAATAATACAACTGATCCATCAACATTTTGGGTATTAGCTGAAATGATTACTATGGTACTAGTTATTATTTCTTACTAAACGTATATTACTGTATACTGGTCTGGCAATAAAGGATGCGCATAGACAATTACATAGTACCGGTGTTGGCCGATTTGAGAATCAACTGATATCTATCAACATTAGAATCAAGATAGTATTGCATCCATTTAAGGTTGGCAACATGAACACTAGTGGCTATGCAGTAGTAGAGTTTGTATTATTTTAACTCACTGTATTATAGCATACAAGTAAGACAATTTTACAGTTCGGTTTGATGTTCAAAAGATGCATCAAACATTGATATTGGCAAATATGGAATGGATTGTTGATTTCACGCAATCAATCATTTATATAAGCTAGAAAATAATATTCTGCTCATCGAGTCATGGTCCCCAAAATACAAGCTAACGGAACTCACTTGACTTATCTTACGCCATGTTCCTTCGTTGGTACACCATTCGTTACCATATAGATAAATTGGTTGTTTAAGATTACCAACGTTAAGTTTGATTAATAATTTTGAAGTTGCAGTTGCTTCCTCAAAGACCGATATACAGTCTCCCTTGTAATGCTTGATTTGATACGGCAATAATGTAGGCACATAGCAGAACCCCTTAGGAAGAGGCCTCGCATTTTCAATGCTATCAATACAATCAACTAGACAGCGGATTTTGCCTAATTTTTTACGATAATGGTCATATCCAAACATAATTTAGCAATATTTCAATGTTCAATTAGTTATCTAAGGTAAGGCCCCAGCCTAAAATTGAAAATGCTAGTAACCTTTAGAAAGTTTGTCAACCACCACAGGCCACCGGTCACTGGTCTAAAGCGTAATGAATCCAGTGCATAGCGAAAGCTGTCATCTCTGTACCACTGTCTAGTACAGTACAGGACATTGCGACGGTACAATACTGTACAGTGTACAGTACACTTTATGAATTCACGTACGGTAGAGTACAGTACACAGTACCGTATCATAAGAAGATTGTTTACCTTTTACCATCTACAGTCTACAGTACATTGTACAGTACAGTATCGTACTGTACTGTACAATATACTGTAGTACTGTACACTGTACAATTGTACTGTACTGTACACTCACTGTACAGTACAGTACAGTACAGTACACTAGTGCAGTGTATAGTACTGTAAAATCTGTTCCAAAACCCCCAATTTTGATACAAAAATCCGTATTAGCCAAGCCAGTCCCGTCATATCCTGTTGTCCACCTGTACACTGTACAGTACGTACAGTACACGTGTACGGTACAATGTACTGTACATTACACGATGCACGATACAATGTACTGTGTGGTACAAGTGTACTGTACAGTACTGTACATTGTACTGTCGATAAAATAAAAAAATTCAAAATATGTTTGCGTATTATACTGTACAGTACAATCAGTACAGTAGTAAATCCACTACAGTAATTGAAGTACAGTACAGTTATTTCCATATTAGATCCATTATTCACATCAACTAGCACGTTACAGATACATTCACGGTTCACCAAGTCTTCATCGACGGATCCATATGACATTGGACGTAACTTTGTGCCCCTAAAATTCATCTACAAATCAGCCGAAATACAGTACTGTACTGTATAGTAAGTATACAGTGTATACTGTACTCAGTGTACAGTACAACACTGTATCAACACTTTGCAAATAGACTCAGTCTATCACAGTCCACGTGTACAGTACTGTACAGTACTGTAGACTCTCTTTCTGCCGCCCATCGATTCATAATGGTTGACTTCATTACAGTACTGGTTCTATACTGTACAGTACACCGTATATATACCGTACAGTATACATAGTATACAGTACAGTATATAGTAGGTCAATTACCCTTAAAGAATGGACACGGTATCGTACTAGTACAGAGTACGTTCGCAAAAGAGTGACGTACTGCAGTAGGAGGTTGACATTGACAGTCACTTTTGACGCAGGCGATAACGAAAGACATTCTATCGTGTGTGATGGTGGCAGTAAATCTTCATTGATTTCAATTGGATTGGAAGTTCTCTCAAGCATTATTTTACCCGTCTGCAAACATTAGCCATTGCCATTTCGCTGGTGGTTCAACTTTATGACGATTGGCATTACCATTAAGGGAGATTTGTCGTTGCTATTACAGCTATCCGATCTGCTCATTACCCGCATTAGCCCCAAGAGTAGGAAAACTTTCTACAATCGATTGGCAGAAGACTACGCTTATTGAATAAATCGATCTATATAGCACAACGAAAATGACAATCTGAAAATGGTTCTAATTCATTATTGACCGGCCAAAACGCCAACATAGTCATCAGGAGAAAGGAATTGTTAACATTAGTCTTTTATGCATACGTGCAATACAATACAAATACAATTTGAATTCGTCTTACAAAAATCCTTTCCACGCGTATTGTGGTGCAACATTTTGCATTACCTCTACAATCAACGTCGGCTACTTAATTGAATAATACTGTACTACCTGCATACTTTCATGTTGCAGCCATTCTATTGGATTCCTCGATCAAATCATGGATAATTCGATCCTAGCGGTAAATTGAAAGTAGTTCTAGCCAAATAATCTTGTATTGCCTTTTACGCCATAATACACTGGCTATGCTCTACTGTGTTGAACATCTTGCTGTATTGCAATCAATCAAATGACTGTAATGACTCATGTACAGGACTGGAAAGTAGAGTAGAGTAGAGTACATTACAGTTGGTTTCGTTGTTAATGAAAGTTATTAAACACAGCCAATGATTGTTCATGGACAATTTACAAAGTTGTCAATAATAAATGAATCAAGTTCGTCGCTCAACAGCATAAATTATTCCAATAAGTTGATCGAGTTAGGGTTAAATGATCAACATTAACTTTATCTGATATACAGCATAACTACAGATCAGTATAATTACAACTTGCCAATGGACTCAACTGGTGATGATAATTCCATAATATTGAAGTATAAATATTATGGAATTATGCTGATTAATTAAACAGCAACGTTAATCGAATCGTCACTACATCATGAATAACAAATTAACCGGCTGTTGAATACTCTATTTTAATTAACTCAACTGCATGTGAAAGCTATAAACAACTGCTCACTAAATATCGTAATAGATTGGATAATCACTTCACTTTGTTGAACTTTCCCATTTGATATTGTAAACAAATTAAAAGATGCAAGTATGTTAATGTGAAACAGATGACATTACAGATGCGAGCACCATACTTAGTAAAAATGAATAATGTTATGTAGGCGTATATGGCAGATGGATGTACTAATTGTATAATGTGGACGATATCGACTACAATCATGTTAACGTAGAACGTTTACAACCATACGGCAATATTATTATGATCGATTATAATGATCAGTCCAATACCTAATATTACAAGAACTGATTGAGAATCGCGTCAATATTTTAAAAATTATTATGCTTTACTGGTTGGATTATGGAAGTAATCATTTATTTCTATTTTAATTCATTTTTTTTTTAGGGTATCGATAAACCAAGTGTCTATCATGCTGCCATTATAATATTTTTAGAATTTTTCTCCTGGGGGTTGCTGACATCGCCGTTAATTAAGGTATTTCTATATAAAAGTCTATGCAAAAGAAGTACAAAAATACAATTATCCCCGATAAATGTAACAAAGCGTCCGTTATAATTCAATCCTTACTCAATCACAGATAGCATTCAACTTACAGATCATTAGGCGATGAAATGTTACTCTATATGTGTGCATACTATCGTATTAAGATATGTGTATAGTTAGGGAGTATCCTTCTTTCGTCTTGCACTCGTACAACGTTGAATAACGTGTTTGTACTATACCATGTCAACTCCGTTGTTTGCGACTTTGCATAGAATTAATTTCAAATTGTAATGTTTCTGTATATGTTTTATTATATCCGTGACATTACCCTATTTTGCAAATAGTTATTAAATTAAATTAATACGTTTATTGCAATTTCTTTTCTTGCATCTCTAATTTTAGCTACTGGCTGAAACATTTCCTAAATATACATTTCTCATCAATGGAATTATTCAAGGCATCAAGGTATGAAGAAATATTGCAATCTAAGGATTAGCGTTACTTTTTTGAACGCCGGAACCAATGCCGTACAAAAAATAATCATGGTTTGCGGAGCCGCAATAGATTAGTTTTATAGTAATTGTTTGATCGTTTATTGTATTTCGCTTACTATAGCATTTTGATTTACTTTCATACCTAGTGTAAAGCGTCCATATCTTGCAGCTTAAATGTTACTATATTACTTTCCCCATACAATCTGAAACTGCAAATCCACCGTTGCTACTATGTGTTTATAAAATTTTAAAATTATCATAACGTTCTCAACATATAAAAGACTAGTTTATGGAACTCTGAGAAAGCAAAATTGTTTCTCACGCCTATAATGATAATCTTGATTGCATGAGATCATTATAATTGTTGACACGCTCTCAACTCCATTACAAAAAATGTAACCTAAAATTGAACGAAAGAAAATTTCTTTGACAACACTGTACTCGTTAATACTACCGTACAATATGAAAGTCTAAGTTGAATAACTTAATGTACGAATAAAAATTGCAAACGGTCGTCTTTTAGAAATTATTTTAAATAATTTTACAATATACATTTCTAATCTTAATAAATTGTTACTTCATTTTAGGGAATACTATCATTCTTTAGTTCTCCTCTAATTGGTAGTCTGTCGGATTCAGTAGGGAGGAAACCTTTTTTATTACTAACGGTTTTTTGTACGTGCATCCCAATACCTGTTATGTGGTTTGATGCGTTGTAAGTAATCATTACTACTAATCGAATTTATTCTCCTAATTTGGTAACTGGAGTACAAATCTTTACTAATCGAATCAGTATTATTTTCGACATAAATCAAAAATTATAATTTTTTCTATTCCATTGGTATGCGAACGTAATAGTATATGCTTACAATGACCTTTAAATTATAGGTCTTACTTTGTGGTCTTTACACTCTCTGGTATGTTCTCTGTAACTTATTCTATTGTATTTGCCTATGTTGCTGATATATCTCCTACTGAAGAAAGGAGCTCTTCATATGGCTTGGTTAGTAACCTTTCATGATTAAATAATTGCTTTTTCTCAATTTTCTATGCTATATACTGTATAGCAACTTTGATGTTTAATCATATTAACTGGTAACAACATTAATTTTAAACATGGAACTGAATAAACGATTATAGAAGCATTTATTGCACGTATTGATGTTTTAACAGGTAGTTAAAATTACTTAAATCAATGGTACTTTTGTAGGTTTCAGCAACTTTTGCTGCCAGTTTGATTATCAGCCCGGCACTTGGTACCTATATAAGTGATAAATACAGCGACGATGTGGTTGTCTTCATAGCAACTGCTATCTCTTTCCTAGATGTTTTATTTATATTAGTTATGGTACCGGAATCTCTATCATCGGAACTAACAACTGAAATATCATGGAAGAAGGCTGATCCATTTGCGGTAATCATTACTGTCGATTACGTTGACTACAGTAGAAGTAATTAGCAACTATGAAATATCCATTTTTACATTAGTCCTTGAAGGTCGCTGCAAAAGATCCTAAACTGTTATTCATGTGCGTTATGGTATTTCTATCGTATTTACCAGAAGCTGGTGAATACTCGTGTATCTTCTTGTACTTACGCCAGGTAACATTGACTTAATGTATTCGTTAGCTCTAACCTGATATTATACTGAAAATATGATCAACTACTGTTAATATTAGTAAGGCCAGACTTAGCTTCGTTGATAATTTAATTATTACCGTAATTCTACTGGTAGGTTATTGGACTTCCTTCTTCACAAGTAGCAATTTTAGTAGGTGTTACCGGTATTATGTCAGTAATAGCCCAAGTAAGACAAAATTCTTTGCAATATTATACTTTTTATTTACCCCGTTTGTATATTTATTGATCCATTATTATTGCTACATCATTATATATAGACATGGCTGATGTCGATATTTTCGAATACTTTTGGTATTTACAATACAGTCATAATCGGAATGATATGTCAAATAATCCAATTATTGTTGTATGGCCTGAGTATACAGCCCAAGTATGTCATTTTTCTTAATGCATAATATTAATGTTGAAACTTAATGATAACAACTGACTTGATATTAAGTTTCTTTTATGTTTATGTTTGATTTTTTAAAGACTTATGTGGATAGCTTGCATATTTGCCGCAATATCATCCATAACTTACCCTACTCTAAACGCTATTATTTCTGTAGATGCTGATAAAAGTAGACAAGGTATTTTTAGTGGTTAATATACAGATAAAATAATTAAAATACTGTATGCATGCTTGAATAACATATAATAAATGTATCCTAAATTAACAGGTGTGGTACAAGGTATGGTAACTGGTGTTAGAGGTTTATGCAGTGGTTTAGGACCAGCATACTATGGTTTAATTTTCTACGCTTACCATGTTAACATTGCAAGTCAAGATGTATCACATAATCAGCTTGGACCACACAAGACCCCAAATGTGAATGATACTGTAGTCACCGTACAGGTAATTGCACAAAAAAATTATATTAACATTCGTTGCATACGAATATCTTATAATACCGATGTACTGTATAATTGCATGCAATATTAATACTTGCTCTTAACTTTTACAGCCTTCATTACCTGGGCCTCCGTTCGTATTTAGTACTGTAATGGTGCTAATCGCGTTACTAATGATGGTAAGGCGAGCTGGGAAGAATAGATTAGTGCAAGTTCCTCTCTAATACAACTGATTCAAATCAATAAACAATGGTGACTAATTTTCTTATGAGTGCCTATCCTTAATGATTATTCTATGTATAAATTCTGTATTAAATTAAGTTACTGTATCATGGATACATTAAATTTTATGAGCTGTTTTACGTTAACCACATAGGTATAAAGATATATATTTATTAGCACCACTTGTACTTAGTATTTCTTTTCGAATATTAAATTAATTATGGAAAGTTCGTTATTTCTAAAGATGCATATTAACTCTTTCGAAATACTGCTTGTATCCGGAATAAGCTTATTCACCCAACTATAGCTTGAAATTCTTATTCCTTGTTGATGTAACAATAATGAGCCAAGATGATACCGAAATTTTTTCTATTCGTATATCTCAAAGCATACAATTCATCTCATCAGTAGAAATAGAGCTATTATAATTACGCGTATGTGCGTTTCTAATCCAGTCATAACCATGATTTGTAGATGTGTTGTTTATACTCTCGTTACCCAGCTTATTAAGCTGATAAGCAAGCTTTGAAAGAGCTGATTTATTCTATTATTTCTTGTTCCGTTTCTGTAATAAAATGAGAATATCTCATATTTATTTGTATACGATTGAATTTCTGATAACTTTAGTTGTTTTTTCATTGCCAATTAATTGCGTACATTTCGTACTGTTGAGTAATAGTTCTAAGGCGCTCCCTAAATGATTTGAACATGCATTGCTGATCCTGCATTACATAATGCTATATAGCCATGGCATGTACGAGTATTTATTAATTTTAAACCTTGAAAATCAATCTTAAATTGCTAGATCATATCTTACTTGTTTTAGTTTTATAAATAACGAAATTTAACAATATAAAAGACTCGCAGGTACAGATTTTGTTAGCAATTCTATTCACTAAAATCGTTCTCAACATCTTTATATCATTAAGCAACACGTACATTACGTAAGTATTTATGAACACTTTATTAGATGAAAACCTCTGATAGTAATAAGTTAGCACAGTCTAACCAGGCCTAACCTTATTCTGATTTAACTCTACTGTCAAATTTAATTATATAACTAAATAGATAGATTGCTCAGATGCAATTTTCTTATGATCATTGTTATCTTACTCATAAAATATTTTGAAACGCTTGTTTATTATGGTTATTGGACGGAATTAATACATTACTTTTTGTCCGTTTCCCTTTGAAGAAGTAACAGCCTATCTTCAATGCTAAAAGTCAACAAAAGTACCATAGAAAATTGTATTTATTTATTCGAATGAATATTGATGGCAACATATAACAATATTTTGGAAATAATATCACTTGCCTAATTATATGGAAGTAAGATACCCATTAATAATCATTGCTTCATTTAGTTGTAGTAAGGAAGCAAAATTGTCATCTAGCAAGTGTTTATTTAGTTAAATAATTTTCTGGTTTTTAAAGGTAAATGATTGAATCGGTACCGGGTTGTAAATATGCTATCGTCAAGCCACTGGAAAGGTATAAAAGTTGACCAATTACCTGATTTCATTAGTGTTACTCGTTGAGACTTTCTGATAGAGTAGAAAACACAACGTGAAACAACAAGTTATCCGCTGGTCATGATAAAAGTTATAGCGTTAATCTTATTGAGCCTTGCAGCTGTTCAAAACGGTGAGAAAAATTCATCAGACAGGAATTACTAAATGTTTAATTCACTAAAACTTTTTGATACTTGTTAATCTAAATTAAATAAGCGTATATTAAAATCATATGTACTATGCTGATGATAACTTACTATTCATTATCAGCATAATTTATTAACCTAGATTAAATTAGCGTTAGAACGATTCAAAAATTTATTTTATTACCCCTTACCTGTCTGTCTCAAATCAGCCCTCCATCATTTATTGCATTTACGTATATTTATACCACAAAGAAGGCATTAGTAAATTAACACTAGTTATTCTTAGGAGCTACGCTTCAGTAGCAAATATAAGCTTATGGTAGCCTCATTCTTCTTGTAAAATATCGTAACAAATCATAGACGAAATAGTATCGCATAAATAAAGAAATAACAATGCTATACCTACAATTTATTTAAGTTCAATTTTGATGATTTATAAATGACTAACTATATTGCTTAATTATATCTTTACATAAGAAGTTGCTGTTTGTATGTTTTTTCACGATTTATGTAGCTGCTACCACTATCCACAAGGATACCAATATCCTTAAGCCAGGATACTTGTATTCCTATGAATATGAGGGAGATACAGCTAGTGGTATATACGCAACAAGCGACAAATTCGCTGGATTAATGTTCAAGGCTAAAGCAAATATTGGCATTCCTAGCAATAACTTGCGAAAAACTTATCTAAAGGTAAATCTATGTAATAAGCCATATCAATATTAATAGCAATAATAATTATTGTTATCTTCTTTCATACTATTTTCTATATTAACTTTGTTATTCCATTTGCAATATCGTCTACAGTTTATGCTATTGATCTTGCTGGTCATACGCACATCAATGAAATCTTTCTTATTTCTTAATTAATTTATTTATTAAACAATAGCAGGAGTTTACACTCACTGTGGTCCTTATTTAATAAAATATGAATAAATTTAACTTATAAGTATCGAGATAGTATTGATTTTTAGGGCATTACATTAATTAAATTATGGTAATTTTACTATGAGAATTGATTGTACTAATTATAGCATAACTATCTCTATATTACGTTAACCGTATAAATGAATTAAGCTTGTCTTCTATTTCCATAACTGAATATAGTTAGAACGTATGCAAGTCTTCTCCTTTAATGGTACATGGCCGCAATCAAGTAGCAGTCAGTACCAACCCGTTAAAGTCTCCGACACATTTTTAAAGCATATTCATCAACCGGTCACCTTCGATTATGAAAATGGCCGTGTAGGCAATATATATGCTCAACGTGATGAAACTGATGAAGCCATTAATATCAAGCGTGGTGTTATAAATTTGTTCCATCTTCCAGGTTTAAAATCTATCCAAAAACACCCTCAAATTGTGCGCGATCTTGAGGTAGAAAAATTGCTGTAGCCGTAGTTATCATAAACTAAAGCGAACTTGTCACGATTATTTCTATATGAGTATATCAAAAAAATTCATTTTTGTACTAGAGACAAGCAAGTAGTTGTATATAACAATATTCTCAATGCTCATTAAAATAGGAGGGAATTGAAGGCAAATGTGAATCAATTTATCATGTTCAAGAGTCTAGTCCTCAAAATTGGATCATCGTTAAAGCAAGAAATATGAATAATTGTTCGTGTTGCCCAAGTCGTCAACGATCTATTTGGAATTTACGAAATCAATCTTGTGAAACTCAGGTTTGCTTATTAACTGCGATAGTAAGGATGATCCTCAATGGTATATATTGTTTTTATAACCCTTCATACTTTCAATGTCCAGCAGTCTAAATTCTTGAGATCCAATGTTGTCACGAGATATCAATTAAACAGTCAAAACAAACCGCAGTATGATATCGAAGCCGTAGAAACGGAAGCTAGCCATGTTTTCAGTCCATTCCGTGGAGATAAGGGCAGTGCCATGACAGTAATCAGGTTAATTTTCGGCAATTAGCTTTAACTTAAATCAGATTTTAAAGTCATAAATAATCTGAAAATTTATCCAATTTCAACCCTGATGGTAATATAGGCAAAAGCTAAAACGAACAAGTCAGAAACAGCAAAGCATTCCATTGCCAGGTAAGAGGGTAAAAAAGGCGATTAGTCATCACCTGTGTTTGTTATGCTTAAAATAGTTAAAAATTAGCCGTGAGCCTTTCAAATTCGTGAAGGCATGAATCAAAGTTGCACTGAATGATATAGGAAACTTAGTGTCAAGAGGCCCCATCGGTTTTCAATTTTGGCCATTGTCAATCACTGATAATCCAGCTGAACCAAATCTTAATGCAAAAGAAGAGGTAAAATTTAATGTTAGATAACAAGGAAGATTTGATAGTACCTATTCATTTTATAAGTATATATCGTTACCTTCTATTTGAATACTTTTATCACTCAACTAGGCCTTGAAAATGCTAGAAAAGATTGCTGCAAAGTCGGAGAGTGAAGGAACTGATCCAATACCGTACTATTTTATTCATTTAATCAATGCATTGAGAGGATTAAGCCAGACAGAATTGCGTAATATATACCAAAATCGTATTAGAAATCCCAAAGAAAGGTAATAATTACCATAAAATATCCAATTATGGAAATCTATTTCATCATGAAGAAACTTAGGATATTCACTAGTGGAATGTAATACGATCACACAGTAGTTAAAAGAATGAAACTAAGATTGTTCATAAAATCGCTGGTGTCAACAAATACCAAATTATCGTTTCTTTTCTACTTTTACGAGCCGTAAAGAGTACATGTAGTGTATCTAGCATGCTTGTTCGTTTCATCATGGAGTGATATAGAGGAATAGAATATCCATAAAATTGATTGCAATATCACATATAGCTAACTAGGTACATTATGGATTGCTCAAAATCTTTCGTACTTTCTACAACTTAATCTATCACTTGGAATCCACTAGTGGAGATTTTTAAAATAGTTAAACCTTTATGAATAAATTTCATATTCTTACTCAAAAAATATCGATACTATAGATAGCTTACGGTCTAGCATGGCCACATAACGAGAACGATTACCTTATCGTAGAAATTAAATTCGCATTTGATAAAACTAGTAATAGTCTACTTAAGTTTTGTCGTAGAATTACATATAGATACAATATTGAAAGATGGTAGTAAATTAATTATTTTAGTCGGTTAGCTTCAATCTTCATACTTTAGTCATAATATACACGTCTATTAAATTTGAAGCTCTATATTATGTTATAAAAATAATACTAATCGCTTTAATCTGTTAATTGAATTTTCCATATTTTTGGCAATAATATGCATTAAATTATAGAACTTATGTCATTCTATAGAATACTACTCTCATTCTTAGTGTCAAATATCTATCTATACTATACGCTATCATTTACATTTATATTGATTATTCTAGGCAATGGCTACTTGATGCTTTAACTAGTATCGGTAATTCGGAATCGATGGTTCTTCTTGGCCAATTGATTAGTAGTAAGATACTTTCTGAAAAGGATGCTCCTCACATTTTTATTCGTATACCAATGGCTCAAAATGTAACAGAACCCATGGTAGAATCGCTTTTAGTAAGTTCCCAAGCGACCTATACTTTAATGTAGCGATGATCTTTAATAAAAATGGTCTATAATTAACACATTTATAGAATTATTATTAGACTTCACTCAATTTATCAATTCTTAAGGAAAATAACATAAATAAACCTAATTTCAACATAGACTGTCTGCAAATTACCTGAAGTCAGGAATAGTATAGCTATGCATCGATCTTGCTGGTTGGCTTACGGTTCAAGTATTTTCAAGATGTGCAACTCCACGTATAACTGGAAAAATTGTCCCACAAAATATGTCCAAGTCTTGCATACCTCGTTGAATAAAGTAACTAGCAATAAAGACAAATTATTGTGCTTGAAAGCAATTGGTAATGCTGGTTCACCATCGAGCTTACCTGTTTTAGCTCAAAAAATCAATCAAACATCGCTCAGTCAAGATGAACGAGTGGCTGCCATTTACGCTATGAGAAGAATAGCTATCATAGAGCCTAAAGAGGTTTAAGTATAAAGCCAATATAAATTTGTATAGCAATTACAATTCACCTTACTTCTATCAAACTGCAATTAAGACTGTTCTTTGTTTACAATATTCATTCCCTAATTATAATCATTTTAACTTAACGTTCAAAATTGAATTCTAGAACAATTACACTATGGTAGTTAGTGTTATAGCTTCAACTACAGTACTATCGCGATTGCATTTTATAAGTAGCCTTAACAATTTAACGAAATGTAACAGTGTAGGTTGCAGCACCCGTCTCTGTAGATTTAATTTATTAGGCTGAAATAATATATTTGATATGAATCCCTGATAATATACATTCTTTTTTTCTGTTATCATCACTTTTTATAGCAAAACTAAAGTAGCGAATATTAAATGTTGTCCAATGAATGGATATATTCCATTCAATCATGATCACAATCTTAGATTGCTAAGTCAGTAATAGTGATCAAGATCATTTTAAATAATATTAGGTTATCTCGACTCTTTTACCGATCCATCTCAGCCATAGCGAAAATACGGAAATCCGAATTGCTTCTGTTGTTGTCATCTTTGATACTAAACCTAGTTTAGCAGTCTTGGAATTAGTTGCTGATGGTGTTCGAAAGGAAATGGATCAACAAGTAGCTAGCTTTGTATATTCTCATCTAGTTGCCGTCTCAAGCAACAAATTGAAATGTTCACAAGAACTGTAAGTTCTTAATAATTAATAAGTGTATAGCTTTTAGTATTTTATGTCAAAGAATTTCATCTAAATTTCCTGGAATTGATCATAAAATTGAATAATTTGATAAAATTAATTGAATCTAAATTATAGTTAATCTATCGAGTACGGTAATTTTTCTGATATCATATATTAAGTACTACCATCATGAGGTATAATGATTAAAAGTAAACATTTGATAAATATATAGGTATTTACTATAGGTTATTTATGATTCTACTCGTCTGCCAAGTAATATGTTTAATTCCCTTACTATTGTACCCTCCGTAGTCCCACTTGTTCGCCCCTACCACTAACCTAAACTTTTATTAAAGATGTCAGCAAAATACGATAAATAATATTATAACTACAATTATATCGTTAATTTAGCTCTTTAGTCTCTATAAATTTTCATTTAATGAGCAAAAGATTATTTATTGAAAAGAGAGAAATCTCTAATTGTTTGTTGCGTATATTAGAGCTTCAAATGCCTATCTGGTGCTGAAGACCCTTAAACCTATTGGTAATATGTTCCAAAGTCGATCCTACCTGGTTTCCGCTTATTCTAGTATGTAGTTCTTCAAAATTCGAAATTTTAGACTTAACTATCTCGGGTTACTTTGCTAGCCAATGCCACAAAATTGCTTGATAGCAAAATCATTCAATCAGAAAATAATTGGATGCTCGACAATCTTTAATCTGACTGCCATCATTTGCTATAGAAATTTTGAAGATGGGTTCTGCTATCGATGTTAAAATGATCTACGATTCCAAAACGAAAGAACCAAGAAGTGTTTGCGTTAAATTTATATCCGATGCACTAAGCTATACCACCAGTACTATGGAGGTTCGTTAGTCCATTCTAAGATGAATGAATATTTCTATTTACAATAAAAAAATAATCAATTCTGGAGATACCATAGTTTCGGTAATTCCAAATACCTATTTCTAAACTGCAGTCAAAAAAATCGATCATGAGATTAATTGATTCACTTTAAAAATAAAAACAAGAATAATATCTCTATCTATAATACAGACAAATTCTAAGGTTCGCTGATAAATTTCTAAATGAACAGGCAATAATACTGCTTAAGTTGCCGTAGTTCTTGGATTCCTGTTTAAATTATAACTGAATTTCACCTATAAAGCTATCCAGCAAAGGAGATTATATTTCATCGAAACAATTAACTAGTTTTAAATTTCTACTCTTGACCTAACAGATCGGCAGTTCTATGCACGGCTATACCTCGTTGATGTCTTATCCTAATGGAAGTCTTCCAATGTTACTAAGAGATCTCCAATCAAATACTGGAACAATCTTTGAAAAAGCAAGTTAAACTTTATAAAATTATTCAATTACGGTTGCTTCTCTTTACAAGATTTAACTTTCCACTGTTTATGAACCTTGATCAATCAATATCCGCTATTCTTGTTAATTTTATCTATTTTAACTGTTTAACAATTGTTTAGCTTTCTAAATTCATAACCAAGATAAGCAATGTCAACAGTACCTTTTACTTGAAATATTTCGGGGATGAAGTGTACTTTGATACTTTTAATTCGACGAGCATCATTGAGATTATTAGCCAATTGCAACGTCAATCTAAGTCGGTTAGTTCTTGGACAGATGGAAGTTTGTGGATGGAAAATGGGCATTCTATTCCAACTCAAATTGGGCTTCCACTCCATGTTAATATTACTGGTGTCGAGGCTAGATATATGAATGCTTCATTATCATTGAATTTCAAGCAGTTACTGAATGCCTTGGGTAGCAAGAAAATTAGTTGGAATTGCTCCTTTACTCACAAGTTCGAAAGTTTTCTTTACAAATGATTTTTTTGCATTTAAATGGAGTAAAATGTATTGTGTTTAAGGCGGCATAATGAAAGCCCGAGAAAATTAAAGCTATGTAGAGTTTTTATATAGTTTATCCTTTAATTAAGTAATTTCTTAATTGGTTACTGATTTGTTAGAATAATGATAAAGAGTATTACTCTTGAAGATTCTTGCCCTATCGATATCATACACTATCGCTATTACATTAGCTATCCTTAAATACTACCTTTCCGATTATCAAGTAAACCATGACAGTGAGCTTTAGCATTGAAGATTCTTCACATATAGCTACCAATAACCATCATATTGTTTAGCGGTTCTTTAATCCTAATTGTCGATAGATTAACAAGTTGTTAGAATAATGATAGAGAGTATTACTACCACGAACTCTTCTTATGTAAACTACCAAGAGATAGTATTATCGCTCGTACCTAAATCATACGCTTTTTTGATAGATTGCAAAGTGATTGCGATAATAATAGAGAGCAATACTACTAAAAATTCTTTTATCGTACGATGACATGATTTCTAGCTAGCGTTATAACATTTTTCGTACCTTAATTCAGTACTTTCTTGAGGGATTACAAGGTTGTTAGGATAATGAAGGAGTAATGTTGTTACTACCAATACTTATTATTAAACAAGCTTGCAGCAGATACTTATAGATTATCGCTCATGCTTACTTATGTAGGCTAATGGAACTGCTTTTTATCCTAGATCAACTGATTTATTGTATGGTTCTATGGGCTTAGTCAGTTCTGCCATATCCTCTGGTATTAAAATCAAATCTAGAGTATCTCATGAAGTCAGCCTGATATTCAGAACCACTGCCGATATAAGTACTGGAGAATTTGATATCTACCTTCAGCCATATCAACAAGAAAAAACTTTGGTAAAACATAGGTATGTTAGCATATCTGATAGACAACCACAGAATGTTATTCTTAAATTTTTAATGTGTTTTTAATTCGGAATGGAAGCAACCTTAGCAATCTTCCTGATACTACCATTCGGTCACATAAGTATATCTTATAACTAATCATTTCCCTCTTGCTCTTCGCAATTTAATCACTTTACGTAGCTTGAATATTTACAACTATGTCAGAGTACAAGCTCAGCAGCCTAGATATACTTCTATAACCGAAAGTAAACTATTAAATCCAACTAAGGTATGAATTTGATTCTTATTCAATTTAGTTCGATAATTTTCTCCATTTCTTGGAGCTTTAGATAACAATTTTTGATCTGTCTTACCTTTGAGAGCACCAGTTACTGTAGTGCTATTGAAAATTTAATTCAATTATAGTAAACGATATCTTAGCATAATAATATCATTTCAAAAATACGTTACCAACTTAGTACATTATACATTATTTTTCTTGCTATTGCTTAAAATACTCGTGCTAATTCTATCCTATGATACTACTCTAATCGCTGCAGCTTATATAGCGTGAACAGATTGAGTAGATTTCAAACAAACTCCTTAATCGTGGGAATTGCGTATATTTAATAGCTTTAAATGATACCTTTAGCGTAACATCAAATATCTTAAAACCCTTACAGTTCCCCGCATCATGCTATGAAATTAGTCCGGACGGCAGAAAACTCTGTCTTGAAGCATTGTACTACCGGCCTACTAGAAATTCTCCTTGGTTGCCATTTACAGGACCGATGCAATCACGCATTTGGATCAAACCTAGTAGCGAGCCTCGGCCGATACATATTTCTTATCGACATCTCCCAAGTTCTGATAAAATGATTCGAAAATCTATGCTTGCAGTTCAATTCCTATCCAGATATCAGCGAGAGCTGCATATTAAATATGATGGACACACTCAAATGGCTAGTTATCGCCTTACTGCTTCCGATCGTAGCCAAGGTGGAAAGCAAATAACAGTTGGCTGTGTTATGATTCAATTTCCTGTTAATATGTCTATGCCACTCTCTATCCATATGGGATATAATTGCTCGTATGATCAAGTAGTTATAGCTTGTAATAAACAACAAAATTCAACCGTTTTTCAAGTCAGTGGAAAAACCATAGGTACTACACTATACGTCAACAAAATTAGCGATATGATGGCACCGTACACGCCAACCGATTTAGCAGTTATCACCAGGTAAGCAACAGTAATCAAATTTTTAAAATTATAACTTAGCAATGAATTCCAAAATTTGACTTTTACCTGTACGCTATGGTTAGAAGCAAGCTTGGACTATCGTGATGATCGCTATCGTTTACTAAAACAGTCTATTATTACTAACGAGATATCTAGCGAAATGTCTGTTATATTTTGTGTAATAAGTACAGTACATTTCATGAGATGAATTTGCCACTGACTCCTTATGGCAATAATTCGATATAGTTTTTCAGTTCTGCACTTTACATATGATTACACTTTGCGCTATCACACACATAATTGCTTTCCAGCTCTAAGTATTGGTTGCTCTCACAGGGTGTAATTATATAATTATTATAGTAAGTTTTAAGTCCGCCTTTTACGTTGATATAAAGCTATAATAATACAAATACTACAATTAGATTTTCATAACAATATTATAAAGTGTTATGAAAATGTTGATATTTGATAGTATATTTAACACTATATGTAAAAAATACCGCAGTTTGTATCTAACGGTATATCTAACAATATCACACAACGTTAAGAGATTCTATGACACATTCATACACGTACAATATTAAAAATGTTAAAATAGCTATGTGTACATTTCTATTCCATTTAATTTCGCTCGATCGTATATATAAGTGACATTAGTGGCTATCTAGTGTTTAATATAGCAAGGCAAAGGTGGAATAGTACAAATGTTACAAATTTTGCCTAGCTCGGTCTTATCCTGTAACATAAATTTGAAAAATCACGATAATTGGCATCATTTACTAAAGTAATTCCAATTTTAAATTAGATACTTTATGATATACGCCTACGTATAAATATTAGTCAACATCAGGTTCTTTGGTATCTGAGTACATGAAATTTATACGTATTCTGTAAAATCGAAGATAGCTATGGCTACTTTTCTATTTCATCAGACTCTACACGATAGCAATATACGAATATAATTGTAAATATTTGGTACTTAGCGATCTGTTTAGCTAGATAACGATATAATATTGCTATTAATGATAATTTAGAATGTACGCAAACATATTCATTTCTCTACTATTCAGGAATTATACCAATAGGTACTATCCAACCGTGGATATTGCCACTGATGCTTTTACTCCGCAACAGTTTACACTAACAGCTAGAGCTATATTAACAATGGATTATACCGATAAACAAACCAATAAACCATCGTCACCAATACAGGAGTCAAAACGAGGCGGTAAGATGAATATCTTTTGCTCAACATTAAAATTAATCTGTATCCAGGGCAAAGAATCCAATAATTTTAGTCTGAACTCTTTGTAAAATTTATCATGATCGTATCGCCGACTTTTCCTCCAATTTTCTTATATTTTATTAGCTACCTGCTTGGTTGACATTGGCACCGTAAAAACCTTTAATAATGCGACATATCACTATTTAAATCCTGGAGATTGTCCTTTAACCTTAGCTACTGACTGCTCTGGAAACGGTAGATTTACTATCAGTGAAGAATTAAACGGAGTTCAAAAAATTGTTAAATTGACTTTTAGTACCCATGTGATAATATTGAAGCCCAATCGTGTTGTTTTGGTCGATAACGAAAAGGTTATAGTGAATACTAATCGACCCTATAATGATCCATCAAGGTTATTCACTATCACTTTGAGGAAAGAGCCAGTTCACACCTACGTTATTGTTAATGTCAAAAATCACTTTATCGTAACTTATGGTGAGATATCGGTAAGTTATGGTAAAATTTGATAGAACGATATTTATTAAAGACTTTTTTATTAACAGTTAATATGCTAAATAGTTAAGTAGATTGACACTAGAACCTATCCTATTTTTCGTCGATCATATAGACTAAGATTACCTATACTGCAAAACCATCTTATCCCGTTTGCGGCATGTGTGGCTATGCAACACAACCCAAAGGATTAAATGCAGGTTATAATGCTATTAAAGAATGGATCCAACCTAGTGCATCATGTCATGGAGGTTTGTGATAAAAAATTGAGATGCATATAATACAAGATAAAATGTACGATATACTGTATCGCTATTATAGTATCAGTAATATATTGGTCAGTCTGATGTGGAGATAAAAATTTTGAATGAAGGTTTTCTTGTTCCGTTACATGGCTAGGTTGCCCATTGAAACTTACGCCTAAAGTGGCTAAGGTTGGCAGTCAAGTCTGCTTTACATCTCGTCCAACTTTAAAATGCAAACCAGGCTGTACTCCAACGGGAAGTCTTGCAGTTCCACATCATTTATTTTGTCCTGATGCAGTGGCTGAAAAGGACTTAACTAAGCAGTATATCTCAAACCAACAGACATTTAATTATGAGCTCCTACGTACTAGCTCAACAAGAGTAGTTCCGACTATTATTTCGGAAGATTACAAATGTCAGTGTTCACCTCTGTGTGATTTGATGCATTAATTTACGTTGATCTACTAGTATTATGGTTAATTGCTCTGCTCAGTAGAATGATACCTTTGTGTTGTCTTTCGTAGGATTTAATTTGTTAGTAAACTGTGATAACGCTTGAAGTACTGAAATGATTAACAGATAAAATTAGCACTTTCTGCATAAGTAATGATGACTTACTTCATCTCATTTAATAAAATGCTATTTTCGTTTTGCAATCCATCACATGATTACAATTGATTGTGGCAAATACGAATTTGCATAGGGTATGAAGATGTAACGTATTTAGAGTTACTTTTCAATCTTTTTATTATTGAATTGCCATCTACGGGTATATCATCGAAGAGTCTGGAATATTAGTATAACAGTAGCACTGTACCATGCACATAACAATCAATGGCTAGCTACTATAAAGCATTAAATACAAATATCCAACTGTAGAAAATTTACCTATCCACTCTATAGTACTGTACAATTAGAGTGACGAATTTACAAATGTGCAAAAGTATAATACAATCTATATACAGTACTACAGTATGCAAGTACCGATGCAGTACTATTAATATAAGTATATAACGCTACAGAAATATGGCCTTTGCATAATTTCAAAGTTATGATCGCATTTGCTTTCAATTCGATATTAGTAACATGGTTCAAATATCGTTTGATGAAGATCTATCGTTTCATACAGCCAGATAGTCATTGTATCTGGATTTGAGGATAAATCCGCCATCTTCAGAGCTCGGATTATTACTTGATCCTTGGTTATATGTAATATTTCACCAATAGCCATGACATATGATCCTAAGTAAGGAACAAATCGATTAAATTTTGTTGTAAGCACATTGATGAATTTATTAAATGTTAATTCATTGTATAGTATTATTTACATTTACATTTATTTATCATATGGTCACAATTCAATGACTATTATGTTGGTAATTTACGATTTAAAATGATGATATCGCTTTAATTCACAATGGATTATAGACTTGTTGATATAAAATCGTTCCGATTGTTTAAGCGTTAGCATAAAGTAGACTTTACCTACAGCGCAGCATAACTCGGAATAAGACTGAAGTATCAGGCACAAAAAGGTAGACGATTTTTACTGTATCCAATATAACTTTACAACAGTGTTTTGCCACTTGAAGCAAAAGTATACATGTACTTGCTCCTTAAACTCGATATTCACCGTCTGAGTAAAGAGCATCTGTACTCTTGCAATTAACCCTAGCTTGGTATTTTTTTTACCTTTATGGGCCAGTTATCATCTACTGCACGTGCATAGTACAACGGGCACAACGTATATCAGTATCCACTTATTCATATATCAACTTGCCTACTTTAATTTTTTGATCGCTTAAAATTCTTTTGACCTGACATATCTTGGCTCTACCTGTACCATCATCTAATAAGAGTGCATCACCATCATCTTGCCATTCTAATAAGTCACCTTGTAGCCAAATACAACGCAGTGGCAGAGATTGTTGATTGCACCTTTTCAAGGCTAATTGCAAGCGTTGAGCTCCAAGACCGGCACGAATAATCTGACTGATGAAAAACTTAACTGACGGTTGAGACAAAATGGAATTGCTGCCATATTTACTACCCGTTGCAGTAGTCATTTTAGCCACATAAGCTCAGCACTGATTTGCAGCCTAGGCTAGAGTTTATACTTTCTAATCCAACAGAGCTCCACAGCCTGCTGCCATTTAGCTTCATTGGCAGCTCTAGCTATTAAGCAATCAACGAGGCTTGCATCAGCCTTCGTTGTTGTTACCCATATGAACTTCTATCGAGATTCTGCCTCAAATGTATGTTACAGTATGAGCAATTGAGCGTGAATTGCGCATGTAAGGTATCACACAGGTGCACTTCGTACCGTATTGTACACTGTCGACTTACCGTACTGTACTGTACTGCTGCAGACATTACTACACTTACTGTTACTATAGAGATAGCGCTCAAATGACTGTCACTATACAGATATCTCTCAAATGACTGTGACTACAGATTTAGTATAGAAATTGGATGTCCAGTTTCTGTCTAGTGTTCCATCCGTATCATCGATTCCAATGCGATATACTATACTGTACTGTCAGAACTACTGACACCAGCATCAGTTGATGTCCAGTTTCTGTCTGGTGTTCCGTCCGGACCATCGATTCCGATGCGATATACTGTCAGAACTACTGACACCAGCATCAGTTGATGTCCAGTTTCTGTCTGATGTTCCGTCCGTATCATCGATTCCAATGCGATATACTGTACTGTCAGAACTACTGACACCAGCATCAGTTGATGTCCAGTTTCTGTCTGGTGTTCCGTCCGTATCATCGATTCCAATGCGATATACTGTCAGAACTACTGACACCAGCATCAGTTGATGTCCAGTTTCTGTCTGAAGTTCCGTCCGTATCATCGATTCCAATGCGTTATACCGTCAGAACTACTGACACCAGCATCAGTTGATGTCCATTTTCTGTCTGGTGTTCCGTCCGTACCATCGATTCCAATGCGATATACTGTCAGAACTACTGACACCAGCATCAGTTGCTTCCCGCTCGACCTGCAAGCCAAGCAAAATGGGCCCCAAACGCGATGTCATGTATTTCTATGATCCAGAAGTGGGTAATTTCCATTATGGTAAGTTCAGTCAGTTAATGATTTCCACTAGTTGCTGCTAGCTGCTAGGATGAAATACTTGTTTCTGTATAAAAATAAAAATTATCAAAACCACTGATAGTATTACTGTACAGTACACTGGTGGATGGAATCTGTCAAGAAGCAAGACAGAATATTGCAATTGAACAATATTCGACTTGATGCCAACGACAATAATGATATAATAAATAGGAATAGTAAATAATATTAATAATTCGTGCTTTCATGTATATCGACAGGCAAAGGACATCCCATGAAACCGCATAGGATATCTTTAACCAACAGTTTAGTCTTAAGTTTTGGATTACACAAGAAAATGACTGTAAGTTTCATTAGAGCATGGCCTGATCGATTCGGATCTGCCTTATAAATGCTGTCATATTCTTCATTACACTAGCCTTATTAGCTTACGTATTCACCTTGATAAAACGGAATATAACGTAGTAAGATGATTTTTGATATTCAAATACAGATGTTTCGGTCTATCCCAGCTTCCGATTTCAACTTGTGCCGTTTTCATGCATACGATTATATAGAATTTCTTAAAAAGTAAGATAATCCAATGAAAAGTTACTTGTAATCGAAATGGATAGGCTATGGATCGCTATTTAGACGCATTCTTGCTGATAAGCTTAACTTTATTACAGGATCACACCCGCAAATATAAGAGAATTTCCTTATAGTACCTTGAACACGTACAACGTTGGCGATGATTGGTAATGATGATCATTTCTCTAGCTGTTAATAACACACAGTATAGTATAATAGGAAGTTATAAAAATAATGTACTAGGATATCGCTATTGAACTCGTAAAGTATCCAGTAAGCTGATATATGCGCTCAGTTTATCTTTGAATAGTACACAATATTCCATCATATATGCAGTTTACCATTGCATCAGGGACTTCTAGGAGAATTTCTTGTAGCAGTCCCTGATTGTATGCTATAATGTTGATCAACGTTACTATTCTATTCATAATACAGTAAACCCTGCTAGTATAGTTATACTGTGCAATACAATCATGATTGATACCATGCATTATAAGAATTCATTTATGGAGAAACGGACGGTAATGTATCGCCATAAATTTTTTTGCTAGACATTTGCGATCATTAAGGCCACTATCAATACCAGTTTAGGTTCTAGAGATTATTTTAATGAAACAAACAATTTCATCAATTAATTAAGCTTAATTTTCTTGTATTATCGAAATGAAATTGCCTCATAGTCCTGTTTTTGGTGGCCTTTTTGATTTTTGTGCTATGTATACTGGAGCATCGCTTCAAGGAGCAACGAAAATAAATCATCAGGTAAGTTCATCCATACGATATCTTGGTACACTTGATAAAGTAAAAGTGTGCTCACCGAACTAGTAAAATAAGATTTTTGTTTTAAAAATACAAGAAATACTGTGGTAGGATTCCTTTAACATCTTTTTATGCTCACTTCTACAACTAGGTCACTCTTATTATACTAATTCTAATGATACCGGCAACTTATCAATCTGCCCTTTTTTACAGGAATGTGACATCGCTATTAATTGGTCAGGGGGATTGCACCATGCAAAAAAGAGAGAAGTAAACAATCTTTTAACGTAGATAAATGATAATCATAGGATGTTTTACTTTCGTATATGATGGGCCAAGGCTCGGCGTGAAATCTATTGATGTATTAATCATTTATAAGCAACTTCGGAAATCATACATTTATCAATACAACTACAGACTGTAGCTATAGTCGTTCAATTGTAATTTAAGGATCATATTTAGTTTACTTTCTAACTATTCTTTGCATCCTAATTCTCATTCATGCGAAAGGCCTCTGGATTCTGTTATGTCAACGATATTGTGGTTGCAATATTGGAACTGCTAAAGTAAGCAATTCTTGTTTACGAGTACAGTATCACTCTGTTTTAATATTACCAAGATAACATTATATCAAGTAAAATTACAAGATCTGATTATAAATTTCTGCTTTAATACAGAATCATTTCTTTCTGTAATCATTAAAATTACATTCTAACATACTGTATCATTGTATACCAAACAATTTCTCCATGCAGGTATCATGCCCGAGTATTATACATCGATATAGATGTTCATCATGGTGATGGCGTTCAGGTAAATTTTTTGTTTAAGCCTATCGTTACATTTTATGCAGTTCTATTATCACATGTTATTAAAATTTTGAGACGAACGCGGAATAACTGAGTTATATGATTTGGAATGCTTTTAGTGTTATGCTTTATCCTTTAGTTTATTATAAATAATATATTAAGTACGCGTATTTAATTTTTTCTGTCTAATTGATTATACAAAGTTGTTAGATATCTCGATGGTATTGAACGATCTACTATATGTTATAATTATTTACAGAATTAGGAATGTGATGCTAATCGTCTCACTTTACTGCAACAATACACTGATATACAGCATTATTCAACATTTAGGAAGCGTTTTATCTAACTGATCGTGTTATGACTGTATCTTTTCACAAGTATGGAGATCAATTCTTTCCTGGAACAGGTAATTAAGTAGTTCAGGATTATCTAGAGGGATACTTTCATTCTATATGCAGGAACATACTTATATATTAAAAGATCTAGTATTTATTAAATTTGTAAATGTACGCTTTTTGTGTTTTAACATCGAACGAACAGGTGATATGTATGAAATTGGAACTGATAGAGGAAAATACTACTCTATTAATGTGCCATTGAAAGATGGCATTGACGACCATGGTAGTAAAAGAATAAAGGCTAAATTCTTTAATATCTAAGATAGCAAATCAATTTAGTAATCTTTTTTTTGCATTATCAGGCTATTTATATGTTTTTAAGCCCGTCATAGAAGCTGTAATTCAACATTACCAACCATCTAGTATTGTATTACAGGTCAGTAAGCATTCATTATTATAGGTTATCCCAGCAAAGCTTAACATCTCTTTTTTTCATTTACAGTGTGGTGCTGATTCTTTAGGGTGTGATCGCTTAGGTTGTTTCAATCTTAGTATAAAAGCTCACGGGTTTGTTGTAAAAGCTATTTTCGCATTGCGTCCAAATTTGTTGTTGTTAATGTGCTTGTTCTATTTGTAGAGCATGTGTTCAGTTTGTTAAAAGTTTTAATATTCCGACCTTGGTGCTCGGTGGGGGTGGTTATACTATTAGCAATGTATCTAGATGCTGGTAATATGCGTATTATTATAAATTACAGATCAAGTTTATAGAGTTGCTATTATAAATAACACATCAACTCTGACTTATGCTATTCAGGTGCTACGAGACTGCTTTATTGGTTGATGCCGACATTACCAATGATCTTCCGTATACTGGTATGAGTGAATCATTTAATTATTGAGAAAGACTATGTTAACTTGAACATATACTGACGGATATCACGGCTTATTTTCATGACTTTTTAGAATATTTAGAATATTTTGCTCCCGATTTTTCACTTCATCCTTCGATCAGCTATGCGAGAGCGGAAAATTTAAATACTAGACAGGTATAACGTCTGAAATTCTAAATAAAGTAACTGCTGTCATATGCTATTTGCATTGTTAAACCGGACTTGGTTCTATACTTATGATTATCTACTTGATGTTCTGTTACTTCGCCTTTTGTAGTATCTAGACAATATCATTCAAAGCGTTAACGATAACTTGAAATGTATTACCTCGGCGCCCGCGGTTCAAATGCAAGCGGTTAGTTCGATAAATAAATTGCTGAAATTTTTCTTCGAATTTATCATGAGGTTATTTACTAGAATTATATATCATTAATCACTATGTTAGGTACCTCCTGATTTAATCGATTTTGACTCTGAAAATGAGGATCAAGAACAATATCTAAGCGAAGTAGACCAACCACCAAGGTAAAAAAGTCTTACAATGCCAATAGAATCTGATTTATAACTGTATTAAGTGCTATTAAATTGATTCTTTCAAATTCAAGTATCGAACCAGCTAATGAATACTACGATGGAGATTCTGACAATGATAAAGATCTTGGAGTTGATATTGAAACTGCTATCGATTAATCAAAGTCTAGTTAATTGATGATGTAATTCGCTTTCTGAAAGGCTATCTCTGTTGCGAGGATACAATCCCAATCCACTTTATCGTAACTAACATCCATTGGATATTCCTTACGACTTACAGTAAACTTACTGTATAACCAAGAATCCGATTTTACAGTGAACATTTTATTGTTTTTTAAATATGATTAGAACGACAGTGGATTTTCTTTTGACATTTTAACAAGGAAACATAAAACGTAATTCATCAAGATTATCTTTCCATCTTCATACCCAATATGTATATTAAATTAACAGTAAATTTTACATTAAAAATTGTATTTCGTTATTACAAAATATTATGTTAAAAAATTGTATTTATAGTAACTGTATTGTACATAGATATGTTATATTCAAGCATTTATCGTAGTTACTTATTTCAATAGTCGAATACTTTGCAAAGTTAAAAACATGCCTCATTTTATGTTGGATCAGAATTACTTCTCATTGGGAATAAATCACGCGATGCTTTTCAAGCCATCAAACTAAATATCAATAATTCTAATTAGATACGTGTATTTATATATTATGCCGAACAAATTGACATTTTAGTGTCACTCATCCCTTATATCAGTAGCTAGGCTAATAGCTATCATGGTCTATTAGCAGCAAATACCTGCCAATCATTCGACAAGTACATCTAATGCCTCTTAAAACCTTGCCTCTGTCTAGCTAAAAATGAATCACCTCCACTAGAAGCTAATCTATCATTCATCGTTTTTTTATGTACTTCAAGACCCTAGCAAGAACAATGTCAGATATTAAATATTAGCGTATTGCTTGTCAGAGTCCAGTACAAGTAATTACGCAAGCCCTAAATAAAGTTTTCGATGATACTAACCAACTCATACCAAGCAGTTGTAACCAATTTCATTTCACGCTCATGAATAGTTTTCAAGTTTTCGATTTGGCGCTGCAAAATTCGAAAATTATTATTAACTACCGTGAAAGACCACGACGTGACAACAATTTTTACGCAAACCTCCAAATCTCTGACTCGATACTCTTTTTCTTGTATTTGACTTTGAAGCGCTTGTAGCTGTTTACGCACGTACGGGACAAGATGATAAAATCAGAAAACAAATTTAGATTTCGTTGAAACACGACTACATCTAAGGAATATACAGAAAAATTAAAAATAAACTTAATTAGGTTTAGTAACCTCCGGAGATCCAGTAGCGTTTCTTGGTAATAACTACAACAATAAGAGAAAGCTCAAATATAAGTACATACAGTATCACGATAAATTTAAATTTCATGCGATTCGTATTTTCTGCGTCCAACGAAGAACATTGCAGAAAAACAATTAGGAAAAATACCTGTTTAGCTTTATCCAGAAATTTTTTATATTTATCTTCCAAACGGATCATATCGTTTTCGTTATTCGTAAGCTGGTCTTTCAGTCTACCAATATCAGCGTCTATCAATCATTAATTTCACTACCGTTAAAACCCTCAATCGACATTCTTTAATATCAGCTAATTCAAAGTCACAATTATCACCTCGGGAAGCCAGTTCAGTCTGCATGCTTTTAATAATGTCAGCATTTTTGTTGCCATTCTCTTGCTGAACTTGAATTTCCCTTTCTCGTTTCATAAGAAGACTGCTCTGTTCATCCACTTTGGATCTAAGATAAAAATGTCCTTAACAATCGAAGTAAACACAATATGTCTATAAGTTGCAAACAATACGTACTGCATATTTTCAATAGCTTGCTTCAGTTCAATTTTATCCTGAAATAGTGACAAGACGGATAAATTAGATTAAGTCGATTTAAATAATAGTTTCGATATGTTGTCCTTAACTAACACGAGTATTGTAAGGTCAATACGCTGATACTCTTGAATACATCTAAAGCAAAATTACCTTATCATCTTCTTTCTGTTGCACTATTTGTGTATTATGCCTGCATTTTAAAATTTATATAAAAATAAAATTAATATCAATGAAGAGAATCATGTTTCAAATTCTGGCTACTAAATATATGTAAACAGAAGCAAGTGAGGAAAATTCTCTTACTTCTCTATAAGATGTTCATTCTCTCTAATAAATAATTTCTTCTCTGCTTCCTCCGCCCGCTTTCTTAGACTCTCATTTTCTGTTTGCAATTGGATCATCTTTTCCCTGTAATGGTATTGAAATAAGAAGGATACGTCATAATTAACCATATTGTTTATTATAATAAGTCACTGATAAGAAAATTAACAAAAGTAATTTTCTATTCTAGAGTCGAAATTACATACCTTGCATCGCTATCATTATCTGCCAGTGCTTGCCCTAGTGCATCGTCTAGCGATACAACGCCTGTGCGCATATTTTAAAATCATTAGAAAAAGAAGGACATGTTAGCAGATACACCAAATTGAATAATATTAAGATTAGTATCTCTCTTACCCGATATTTTTCTCGCTGATAAATGAGCATTTATCTCGCGTAAACTTTTCATTTCATCAATTAATTTCTTAAAGACAGTCACAGGTCATATCGTTAATGCCAATTATTTATGATGAATAAGTTAAGAACCTTCATTACACTCACTAACTTTGTTTTCAAATTCCAATTTATTGCATTTCTCTCTACTGCCATATAAGTCTACTTTAGCCTAGAAAAGACAGCGTAAGCAGTTTAAATAAGTACACTTAAATTAATAATTGCTTAAAATTACTTACTTCTTCTTCAATCTTTTTACATTCTTCTATGTCCTTCTTCAATTGGCTGATCTAGTGAGACAATTAAAAATACTTTCTATTTTCTCTTAAAGCAGACAAACTAGTAATGCAACATAAAAGTACGCATAGTACCTTTTCACTGTAATATTCATTATGAAATTTCGTTTGTGAATTTTGTTGTTCCAGTTTCTACATACAAATAATAAATTTTACATTATATAAGTATCATAAACTTCCCATCACAATTCAATGAAGTGCACAGGTTACTTACTGCCTTTAACTCCGCATTATCCCTAACAAATCCAGCTATTCTATCTTCCAATTTTTTTATTTGATCACGCTGACCAGCAGCATCATCTACGAAATAAAACATCGGATTACATTGATTCATTAAGGTACAAAAGATAGTACCATACTAAAAGAGCTACAACATGTTTAATTTGTATTACCTAACTTCTTCTTGTAATTGGTTAATTGAGCTTCGCTTTGTGCCTATATTACGCCATTAAGTAATATTACTTCAATAAATCCAAGTTGTCACATACATAATTTAAATTATACGCTATATGACTTGATTAACTATAAGGTTTCATCCAACTCACCAATTTATCTGCTGTGTGAGATAACTCGTCAACTTTATCTCTTAATTCTTGTGCTTCTTCTGCTCTCTTACTTAATAGTAATCTCTAAGATATACGTAAAGCGCAATAATAGTGAATGAGACAATAAGTGTCTACAAGTATCACATCAGCTATTTGATTCACAGAGTTAGTAATCGTAGTCATGCTACTATTTACTTCTTGTCTAAGCTCGATAAGTATCTTTTCTTGACGTTCTTCACGCGTAGTTATTTCGTCTCTTTCTAAAGAATTATACAGGATAAATACCGACACTATAATAACTATTCAAATTGTTGCTGTACCATAAAAATTTAATAGTTCATTACCAGATTCCAGTGACAAATTTTGCTTCTGCAAAAGCTCAATTTTATTATGAAGATTCTGGAATTTAAAACCAATATCTGTTGTAGGGTCATTTATAATACTTTCGACATTGTTATAACGATCTAACAACTCCTTATTAGATGTTAGCTCCTCCTGCAGATTAGCAACTTGATTTTCAAGATCACGGCATTTATTTGTTAACTCTTTCTTGTCGACTGCTAGGTCATGTATTTCTTGCTCCAATCTTTCTACCCTTTCCTCTTCTATTGATTGATCATTTTGAGATGTGGGAGTCATTAGCTCTTGAATTGCTGTCATAATAACCTCTTGTACGGACTGCTCCAACTCCATAATAACTTTAATATAACCTAGTATTAGAAAAATATATCACTTTCAGACGGATAAGTTCATTGGTGAAATATTAATCATCAATTCATATCCATGACGATGAGTTTGATAAAACATTATACAACGATGGTGATTACATAATTCAAATTTTAGCAATTGTTTAATTTTTAACATAAATAAATTACGTAGCCAACCTATGTGTTTAATTAATTTCTAGCTAGCTATCTAATTTACGAAAAATTTTAAATGACACCATTAAAGTATATACTACTACGTATACGTATGTCTTAATTAAGGGCTACCTATCATACCTTCTCGATTATTACAGAAGAACGCGCAACCAAGAATGAGCTGTAACATTTTACCTAATTCTTCTTCATCACAATTAATAGCTATAATTGAAACAAAGAGTCTCACTTTAAATATTTATCTTAAGCTATTTTAAAAATTTTGTCAAGCTCTGTTAAACCAACCAATTTTTTCTACATTTGGCAAGGACAGATTGCTTAAGTCTTGTTTTAATGTCTAATTAAAGGAAGAAATGGGTAGTTTACGAATTGCACTATGCCATTGACATTAGTAGAAGAACAGTAATAAATAAATAATGATAAAATACATCATTGTATGATGACATATGTTGCATTGATTATAGATATGAACTTAACACTTTACATTATACTACTGTTTCTCAATAAAACGAACTGTTTAGTGCGTTCACATTTATAACTTGCCTCGTGATAGTAGTATTCTATTCCCCGCAGGACTTTCTTTAAATTGCTAACCTACATAATTAGGTAAATAAATGATAAGTATTAGGAAATGGCTATTGAGTTAGTTTATTAATAAAATTGGTTGTCAATATTGATTTAACAGTAGTGATAGCATATTGTATCAGTGGGTTAATAAAGATGAGTTTGTTGTAATACTTCATTAGGTATTTTTTAGATACTAGTATCGTGACAAGAAAAGTACGACAACAAGTATTTTTTAAATATTTTACATGTATAAATACTACATCGCGCTAAGAGAGTTATACAGTATTTTAACCTGTCAGTGAAAGGGATAATTGATCGAATTAATATATACTACCTCATCTAAGATTAAAAAACGTTAGAGGGATAACTATGTAGTATTCTGGAATCTAATCAAGTTAAAAGTAACTAACAAGAGATCTAATTGTAAATTATATCTACATTTCATCATAATAATATCCAGCTATAAGTTCTATAAGTTAATAATTCTAATTATCGGATAACGATAAAATATCGCAATTGCTGAAGTATTCTCTTAAGAGTACTATATCAGTTATATATTTATGCTGTGGTATGTATACTGTATCATTGTACCTTACATTGAAATTGTAAGACTAGTGAAGATATCGTAATTACTGCAAATAAACATATCACGTTGGTGAATCAGGCAGTGCGCTACAGCTTAAAACTCTGAAGACTAATAATCCAACCCGTGAATGGCACATACAGTAATTGGCTTTAGTATTATTTAGTTATTCATTCACTATCTATATTAAATGACTTTAAGTTCAAGCTTTATACTATATTATCAATGAATTAAAAAATTGTTGCATCAAATCAAATAATCTTCTAAACTGTCTACCAGAAAAGTAGGCACTGCATTGTACATAAAAGTCATAGCAAAATCTTACCTTTAACCGCCAATGGTTAGCATCACGCTTGATTCTACTAAGCCATTCTCCACTAAATACAGCAGAAGCTCTAATCAAGCATATCATAAAATTAATAAATGGGTCGTCATATCATTTATTTTGGCTTATTAGGAGATACACGTATCCGTGTAAGACCTTTGAGACGATATTTAGATAAAATACAATTATTCTCCAGGTGTCAGCGACTAATCTATTTTCTCTTACTATCCTACATTCTATTTAGATTGTTACATCTATGCAAATTATATAGACTACACAAGTATTACTTCCTCATTATTGTATATGCGCATATAGTTTTATTCTCAATATAAAATATTAAAGAGCAACAACATTAACGAAATCGTATTCATGTTCAATGATTTAATTCAACTGATAACTTAGACTTTATTCTTATCAACTGTTCTAATAACATTGGTATATATATATATATATATATATATATAAATTTATTCAATCTGGTTAAACTAACAAATAGTTTATTCAGCTAGTGTTGTACTTTACAAGTGATGTTGCAAGTTGTAAATGTTATCATTTTCTCGGTATTGCTTACATCATCATCATTGTACTGTAATCTCTCACAGCAAATATTAAAATGAGAGTAAGAAAAGCGTGCAAAGCAATTTCAATTGGCCAAAATTGAGTATCTCCCAATTTTATAATCATATTCTGCCGCACTACTACTGTATCCGTCCGTTTTAATCTACTTATTGTCCACTACAGTACTGCCATCTCGACTGGCTACGCGATGATCAGCTTCGCTATTGCACATCTACAGTACTATTGATCGCTCTTGTTATATAAATAAAAATGCATTTTGGGGACTGTACTTATAGCATTTGGTACGTTATTATTGGTATGAATTTGGTATGACAGAATTGTCGATCTTGACTAAATTCATTGAACTACTTGTAACGATTGGATGATCATGACAAGTATATGACTATAAAAACATTTGCTTGCAGTACAGTATTACTAAAGTTAGAATAAAGCGCTCACTGTCCAAGTAGTAGAGCCTCCTTTACCAACTGAAAGTTTTTAAAGGGTTATTTAATACTGTAGTCAGAACCAGCATTATTCACAATTAAATATTTAATTCTACTTTTCTAGGTTCTACAATTTTTATACTAGGATAGTATATGCTAACATTTTAGACAAGCACTCGGCCATTGCAACACCATCCATTAAGTCTTGGACAGTTTGATGAGGTCCATTGATGCCATCGAACGTTCCTATCTAAAAATCATGTTATACAATGAGGAAAGTCCAAATTACTTTCAATATCCACCTTCCAGCATCACAATTAGAACCAATAGAGTTGAAATCAACAAGATTTTAGTCCATTTTTACCCATATTAATAAGCTTTCGCACAAAACTTCGCTATCCATTTCATCCAAATGCGCTGACAAGATCAGTTACTGTACTGTACTAGAAACGTTTATAGTAACGCGTCAAGCCCTTTGACCGTTGTCTCTTATTAATTACAGCTGTTGAAGTGTCCAACTGTCCATACAGGCGTCCGAGTGTGTCATGTCAGTCTACACTCTACAGTACAGTACAGTTTAGTACAGTGTACAGTACTGTAATTATGTACTGTACTATACTACTGTACTATAAATCACGTGACTATCGTGAGTAACGTCCACTAGACCAGTTAAGTTGGATACAAACTTGACTGATCTACTGGGCGCTGCTCGATACGTTTGCACCATCTAGTACACTACTGTACGTACATTGTATGAATAAAAGATAGTAATACTGTACTCAGTAGTCAGTGGGCCCGGTGCTGTAGTGTACTCAGTGGATATGACAGCACTGGATCGGTGGCCATTGTACAGAGCTAAAGTCAAAAGTCTACTGTAAAATCCATGTCTACTAAAAATGGCCATACTCGTACTCTTTCCACTGTTGCAGCAGCATACCACTTCTGTAGACTACCGTCACTTCTAAAAAGGAAAGAGAGGGATAACCACCGGCCATTCAATATCCCCAAAATGACGGAGCTGGCCATTGTGCGAGTCATCTCAAGTGAACTGTATATCGAGCACGATACACAGTTGAAGTCGACCGTTTACGCGAGTGTCATCCTGATCAGCTGCTTGGGTTGGCTTTGCACAGTACAGTACTGTACTGTACGTACTGTATACTGTAGTGTAGGTACTGTACACTGTACAGTACTGTACTGTACTGTACTGTAGAATGGCCGACCAAGCCCAGCCCGCCCATTCTACTGTACTGTACACAGTGCAGTACAGTGTACAGTAGCTTACCAATGGTGTGTTTCATGTCAGAACTGCCTGATTAATTATACAATTCATATCACTAATTTGAACTTGAGTTATTAGCTATGCAGCAGTCTATCAATTCAATTAGTTATTACTCTGGATAACAACTTCCACTTGTAAAATATTGTTTGATAATTAATAAAAATCACCAAGACTACTTCCATCCCAAGACACCAGCTCTTTATTATACTCGTACGACTGAGTATATAGGATACGGCCAAAGCCGGTAATGTAGCCATTACTGGTATTGGCTCACCGGTTTCATACGAATTCCTTTCAAAAAATTTGAAATCATGTTTAAAAGTATTGTAGTCATATAGGGCTTTTACATGACAGTACTCCATTAACGATGAAATACACGACAGATGTTTGCATGGGAGTGTATTAATATCGTAGATTAATATTTTCCAGTAGACTAAAACTGTAATCGTTATTCGCAAATTTCTACGAGTACGGTGGATAGATAGACTCGTATGACAGTACAGCATATAATATATAGAACATATACAACTATTATCAGTTATTGTTCTTGCATAGGATAGTATGCCATGCCTGCATGATACTGAATAGTAGAAGGAAGTCAAGCCACTTATAGTGAGTGCACTGTCTATGCACATCGAGAGGAAAATTCTCATCTTTTAAAGACGCAGTAAGTTACATTAGCCCATTTCTCCCTTGAAGTGCCTTTTTCCTTGATCTCCATAAACCATAGAATAGTATAACATTTATTCAATAGGATCCGGGGTGAATACAGTTAAGGCATTTATTTAAAATACTATTGCACTTCAAAGTAATCAATTAATCGTAAAGTCCACAAAGAAACAATGAAAGAGGAAACTAAAATTACCCACAGCTAAATTTCAAAAAATGAAGAGGCGGGAACTTAAGATTAAAATAAATATCCAACTATATAGTGTTAATTTACTATTCATTATCTCATACAAGTATGAGAACGAAAATTCACATCCATATTCAAGTTAATTTCAATCACTTACTCATGGTTTCACAATTATTGATTGCCTAAGCTATCACTTACTATTATTCTAATAGTAGGAGAAATATCCTTAATTACTCAATTGACCATCAATCGTAATAAAGATCATAATTACCTTATCATCTCATGAGATCCGTGCCTAGTAAGCTATACAAGTAAGCTAAATGTGGAGGTAATACGCATATATGCATGTACTTGATAACGCAAAAATCCCATCATGATTATGTGACAGTATATACGAAGACTACTGAACGATTGCTTAACCCTACCAAAGCATTATTTCTATACTTTATAGAAGACTACAACAGTATGTGCAAATTAATTATTACACCATCAGAGAACACCAGCAAATTAATTAAGCTTCCTTTTTCATCGTTTCTTTTCGCGAGCGATTATTATGGAAGCAGAAACGTTGATTGAGAGCATTAATAAAAATGCAAAATTTTTCCTAGGGATAGTTCATGTAAAAGTAATAGTAATGAATGAAAAAATAGCTAAAATGCACTGCTTTAAATTAGTAAAAGATTCGGTATGAACCATTAATACTAGTCATTATTAACTTACGCGATGCTTTCGTTTGAGTCGGCGTTTTTCCTTTTCACGAAGAACTTTATTGTCTCGAATGCTAATAGAATATTCATTCCATCTACATGTATATTAAGATGATCGACCCATAATAGATTATTAATTTAAATTAGTACTGACTTACATAATTAAGATGAAGGCTTAGTGCTAAAGACTAATCGAAAATTGTTCATTTATGTGCTGTAAAACATTTCAAGTATGACTTCTAACGAATAAACTAACCAATATTGTTCAAATATCATTCACATTTAACCATATGATACTGCTATATAAGTATGAATCGTATAATAATATTGAAACAGCTCATTCTTACCGCCAATCAAACATAGTTTTACTTTTTTTCTTCGGTTTTGTCGAAATTTTTCCATCTTCACCCATTTTAAAAATTAATCTTTTCTTGAAATAAATCTGAATGCTCTCTTCGATGCCATCCATACTAAGCGCTACATCAACTATACTGTAGGATCTGATTCGAAATGATTTTCTGTAATATAATGAATCATAATTTTATAAATTTATCACAATTTGAATCACTGCATGAAAATAAGAGAATAACACTATCTTAGACTAGGCATTAAAGACTGCAGTACACCAATATGAAATTGTGATATGTGTTCATAATTATCGAAAGTAAAATATTGAAACTTCAAGGGTCTGACGCATATCCATATAGTCATAAATAAGTATAATATACGAAGATAGTACATACAGGACGTCTACAATCACATCTTCACCAGTAATCGATGCATTAACAGCTACGATACTATATACGGAAGTTTCTAATAGCAGTGGAAAGCCAGGAGCTGTAGCATTGATTTGGCGAGCTTCATATATCAGCGCAGGCTTAATAAGGAAAGCTCTTTTATTCAAGAATCGCGAGAACACTTCATTTAAAGTTTCTTCATCAATTTTCCAAATTTTTCTTTCATTCATGATTTGATTTTCAATTCGTTCAGCTAACACATCCAAGCTCAATTCTTCATTCATTTCTTCATTCATTTCTTCATTCATTTCTTCATTCATTTCTTCATTTATTTCTTTATTAAAATGATATAGTGAGATATCTCTGCAATTATCACAAAATAAAGGATAGGTATTTTAAAATATTGTTAACTTTCATTTCTATAAAGAATTACAGGTATTCTGTGTCCGTTCAAAAATAATCCAGGCATAGCACTTTACTATACTACATAAAGGCTGAGCATTATATTATTGAGTATATCAGTTTATTATTGCGGTCTAAAGTGCGTAATAAGGTCTTTTCTTTATATTTTAATAAATCTTTTTTTGGCAGCTATTATTTCAATATTATTACCAAGGCTAAATCTGTCAACAGCGATACAAATTACTGATTCCTACTTGAAACTTATCCAATTTTACTGTATACCAAATACAAGTATATTAGAAATTTTAAAGTATCTTACTAACAAATATTTAATAATCACACTAGAATATACGTACACGGTCCCCGGTCTTCGATAGGATTTTCTCTTGCCTGATAAAATATCATATGTAGATATGCATACTTCAAACAGCATCAGATTCCGTTTAACAAAAGTGCTGTGGCAAAAACTCTTAACATAAATGAAGATCTATATCAAGCTAGGAATCCACATATAAGCATACGTATATCTATGTCATGAACTCTAGTATATCTAGATGTCGTGTCTATACATATTAATCAAGGCGACAACAATATAGTCTTGACAATGATCAATTCCAACATCAAATATAACTTACATGAATTGTTTGCACAACAACATCATTTACTGTCGGAGCAACTTGCAGACTTTCTAATAAAGCTTTTATCTCCATAACAGAACTGGTTCTACTCCAAACGTTTTGAAGTTTTTGTAATATTACAGATGATGAACGAGCGGCAATTGCGCCCATAAAGAAATCTCTAAATATGATTAATTTTATGTTAATAAACTGAAAAATTTGCTTTTAGCGTGAAATCGGAATCAAATCATCTAACCTCGCGGTTTTTTCTTTATGCATAGAATTCAAATGGCTAAATTCTACCTCATCCATATTAGTACAGTTATATACTCCCATTTCAAATGATTACGACCATGATTGAATATTTATTCTATCCTGTTGCGTGATTTGATTTTCATCCTGATTGAGAACAAAGAAGGGTGAGTGCTTCAGAAGCATTATGAGGCAAACACCAAACATAGTACGAAGAAACTTAATTAAAATTTAATATTATACCATTATTTAAATAAATTACATGCTATACCATTTCGTTTTCAAAAACTTCTTCGTCAATATACTCTTCCGATAGCTCCCTTAAATTGATTGATGGCTTTTTCAATTCTCCGTTGCCTTTTAGACTCAATATCTAATAAAACATATTAGTATACTAGATTCTATGACCATGAATAGCAATGAATAGTAATGAAAATTGTTTGCTTTAAGATTAGTTTTTTTCATGTAATTACATATAAAAAATCAATGTTCAGTTTTGCATTTCAATTATGCAATCGAAGTGTGCAAATTATACTCGAAATATCATGACTAATCAAGATACTTTAATCAGTAAAATATAACAAATACGATTCAATTTTTAGTGGTTGAGAAAAGTAAAGAACATTTTCCTGGCTGAATGAATGCTGAATAATTGACACAAATAATAACTAAATTTTTTGCATTACCAATTACAATTACAAAATCTCTATTGCAATCTCGGTAAATTATCTAAACATAAATAAAAATTTGAACAGATACTACAAGCTTTTAATCTGTTCTTGAATTGTTATTATTTTAAAACGATAGCAAAATAACTAGATACGCGCATACTTACATAACTGATATAGTCAAATTTATTAAAGGTCTCCAAATCGGTTTGATAAAGGATAGAACTTTCGTCATAACTAAAATAATTTGCTAAAAATTTACAATCAATCATATAGAAGTTGTTACGCCTTTTCGCATTCAATATCAGGTAAATTTACTTATAATTTCCTTTATATCACTATAACTTACGGAGAAGAAAGTCGCAAGCTTTATCTTTTAGGTATGATAGCTCCTGCCTATACGGAATAAAAGAGTTTGTATTATGCGTTTAAAAAGCTTAAAACAGGCAAAAAACGGATATGTTTACAAAAAAACGAATATATTTACAAAAAACTAATGGTTCTTTGCCGGCCATGATGATCGATTACATTTTCTGTCCATATCTTGGCCTTAGTCAGTTGATAGATTCCATTTATTTCTTTAAATTCAAACCGACCACTAGCTGATTCAGTTATCTGTCAACGATCAAGTACAAGAGTCGAAAAAATATCATAACGCTGTAAATCAGTGTAATTTACGTTCTTAATCGTAGAATCTTCCGTTTGATTTACCTGAGGTACTCCTTTAGAACTAGAGTAAGCCTTTGAAGGATAAAGCGGTCGATTGCTACAGCGTAAACCAGTATTTATTTTATCGTAACAATTGTTCATAACACGGCATGGATAATAAGTAACATGGCATCTTCCCCTGATACAAGCCTATCAAATGAATTATCATTTAATTTGCTACCTTATAATGATAGTATGTTTAATGTTTAAATTTTAATAATGAATTATACTATTACTGTAATAAGCAATGCAGCTATTCTACAAATTGAAATAATAAAATTCAAGGGAAGACAATACAATGTGAATCACATTTCCATCGCTTCATAAAGACTAACTATTGCTTACCTCGACCACAGTTACACCCTTCTCAGGATTGCTCTTGATGATACTGTTATTAAATTGTAATAATTCAATAGCTCCACGTTTAAGATTTGTGGAGTAATTAATGTCATCTGGGTGAAAATAAAGCCTTTCGCTGATTCCATTTCTATTTTCAATCATCATTGAATAATTAAGCGAAGTGGAAAATTGCTTTATTCGGTCTGAAGAAGTACTTAAATATTTGTACAGCATCTGTACTGCCGGTTGCACCTTTAAAGTAGTTCAAACAGGGCAAGTTAATATTCGACCATAATACAATATATCTCAACAAGTTATTCCAAGTTATAAAAAGAACAGATAGTCTTTCGTTAAAATAATTTTGGTCTAGAATTATTTTGCAACATGGTTTATTTAACAATGTATAAATTAATAGTAGAGTACTATTAAGTAAGTATACTCTTAAATCCCATTTCTATCACAACCTTAACAGGTCATGGTAATTCACGTAATGCTTATAGTAATACATGATACCACAAGACAGATCATCGATAAACTTTCGTAAAAGTGTAAAGTTAATTTAACTTTGTTATAAGCTTGAATATCCCAGTACGAAAATAAATAATTTACAAGTCACGATATAAGAATTATTTGCATAGAATGCCAAATCCACCGCATTGCGAATAGTTAACCACTGAAATTTATGGATGAAATTATATATAATCGTATATACAGTACTGTGAATTTATCAAATATATGCAGCCCGTCATTTTATATCAAGGATGTCTACAATATGCAATAACTCTAAAATAAATTCTATACATAATTTATAGTATATGATATCAAGGATTTATCATTCCTTTTCTATAATATCATAATTACTACGGTTGAATTTATTGATGTTAATACGCATAAGCATAGTTGAATGTAGATTAATAATTGATATCGTCTTAGTGACACTTTTACTACCGTTGTAAGAAAGATAATTATTACAGTATTGCATTTTACATGCGTATATTAACAGCAAAGTAAATATTATAAGTAATTTTTCATGAAATTCTATCTTATATAAAAATTAAAAGTATACTAAAATTAAATTTCTCATAATCTGATTTTTAGTAATAGATGGTTAACTTTTCGTTATAAGCCTTTGTTTTACCTGAAAATAAATATTGTTGTCGTCCATCTTTTTCTGATGAATATGAAAAAGAAACTCGATACCTCCCTCATTTCCGACACTGTTGCTGAGAACTAGGTCGTAGCGAAACTTTTGACATGGATGCGGCGAGGTATCTAAAATACCGTATTGGATGCAAAATTTTAAGGTATGTATGAACCTGAATCGAGATTATTTCTTGATTTATGTAATATGCAAAAGTAAACGACTAGATTCTAGATCAGTTAGGTGCAGTATCTAATTCATATATAGTACTTTTATATGCATACATTATCAAAAGTAATATTATTGATAAATTATAGAACATGCTATAAGGTAGAGCCCAATACTAAAGTCATCTTTTGCCTTTGTGCTCCTTTATTTTTAAGTACCAGATGGAAGAAAATTTTATATACTGCAACTACTACGGTCATTAATTCATGCATGCAGAACCATACTATTATATAGAATCTTATATTAATTTGCATGAAAATTATGCACTGAGCACGTTCCGGTTTATTTCTGATCAACTATTCTAATTACACTAGTACCGGTGTCTATTCTAGGAATAATACAGTCAAATATGAGGTGTGCTATTACGAAATGAACAAATTTTAAAGTGTAAAGAAAAACTGACGTATAAAAATTTTCACATTCTACATTCACCAAAGTGTATCAATACACGGCTGAAATGACAGTAATAACAAAATAGATTGGCGTAATCTATTTAACCTAGCTCAGAATACCGTAAAGGCAGAAAGCTAATTCTATCTTATCTCACCTATTAAAATAAGAGAACCCAAAATTTGGAAGAGAATTGCAATTATGGCTTTATTCTGCATATTAAACCTGTTGCAAACCGTATCAGTGTTGTGGCATGAAGAAAATGTTTTGATCTGATCTGTGGCAGGTAGTTAAAATTTACACTCTCTTTATAATTTTCACCCTTTATACTTTTACTATTATGGCTTACCAATGTAGATTACGAATCACAGTGATTTTAGCTTCCGGGCCTTTTATTAAGGCAACATCCTTCAAGAAACCAATTAATCTATTGTGTTTTAATTTTTGACGACTGGCCATAATTTTGAGATTATGTTAAAAATAGATACAATAAGCATTTTCTTATACATTCTGAGTTTTTTCAACAATATACAGTACATTCTTCGGTATGAAAAGTCAAGCCTTTGATCTAAATAAGTAATTACGAAGTACTTATACTGTATAACTACGACAATATCTATATAAATCACACATCTAATTTGCAACGTCATTTCCAAATTCGAACAAACCGAGTTTTGAAATACCTATAAAAGTATATGATACTGAAAGATTCTCTCAGCGATAATAACACAGTATTTACTACTGAAGGTATATAGAATTTTTCCTCAAAAATGTACGTCATATTAGTCTATTGACCTACAATAGACCGTGCAAAATTACTCTAACTATTTTTAAATACGCCTAATTAGATACAAATAGGAATGATATCTATAGATGGCTTGCCTTTATTTATTTTAAAACGATAAATATATTAATGGATAAGCAGCTACTTACTGGACTATAAAAGTTACAGCTAGTATACATATTCTTGGTCCGTTTAACTACTTCTAGAATCTGATCAATCTCTTACAATTTCTCAAAGGCCATAAATCAATACAGAAAATTCCAAACATTCCTCATCAGCTATATTCGGGTGTTGTCCCATTATGGATATCATCTAAATGAATTCAAATTAAAAATTAATAACATTTCCATAAACCGACCTGTCACTTGATTATAATTACTACAATAGACGATAATTCATTTAATCATTAAACTGTCAAAAATTGGCGCCAGAAAAAGTACCAGCTGTGTCGAAAAATGCACTGTTTATATTTTTTTAGCTTATTTTATCGAGGATGCAACAATTTTAAACTTTGAAGACAATCAATTATTATGCTATTATGCAAAGAGGCTGTACGATATTTTGTATCTTTCTCAACCTTGAGGGAAGCACTTTGACCTTTGCTGACACTGAGAATCATGTCAACTTGCTGGGTGTACCGTTCGGTAAATCTCTTCTATTGAGATCGTTTTTCACGTAGTCTTTGGCCGTTATTAAAATTTCATTCAAATTATAATATGAGTCATTTCAAACTTCAAAAGTGCCGGAGTTCGTGCAATTAGTTGTAAAGATCACAAATAATCTACAGAAGATCATTTAACTCAGTAAACTACTTGTAAACTCCTTGTAGTCTAAATTATCAAATTAACAGCATTTGTGGGCGTAAGTAATGTACGGTATATACTGTACCATACGAGTTGTTTCACATTGCTGAAGTTCCTCCTATATATTGCTATTAGTTATGCAAGAGGGTAATTAGTAGGAAGATGATAATGTATTCTGGAGACTGTTGTATCCTCCTGATAGACCCTTTATAACTTAATAATAATTTTATCCTATCATCTCTATCTTAATACGCAATTGATTCTTTGTTCAGATGTAACGTTTGTCGAGAAAAATTTACACCCGGATAATTATTTATCGTCAAAGTGAATTTTCGATAAGCATTTATTTGCAAAGTATATTTACATTTCTACTATTAATGCCCTTGCCGTATAACCTGCATTTTAGGAGGTAGTTTACCTGTAAAATTGACAACAATAGTTGCCATTAACTCGTTATTCAACGTGTAGTCCGTAATTTAATTAATTTGTATTGCTAAGCGATAATGTAATACACGATGTATAAGCATGAGGCAATTGTTATGACAGACTAATTGTATTCAGAGATCATTGCTGAAAGCATAAAAATTCAATTTTATTATGTAATGTTATTCAAGTGTAGTCGCCTGTAATTAGAATTGTATACAGTTGTATACTATATAATTTTTTTAACTGCTGATACAAGCTGTAAGTACTGTACAAGTATTGATGAATATCACTATAGCTAATCGATATAAAATCTCTCCGTCACATGCAATTTTAGAACGTACCTTGAACTGCATATTTTACTTTTCCTTAAGAGCGCATTGTATTCTTTCAATTAAGTCACAGCATATTTGCTTGAAATATCCGATTTTACTTTCACTTTGGTAAAAATTTTATCTATAAGTTTGTTTATAAATTATTTTATATTATATAATTGATATTAGACGCACCTTGGATGCTAGTTATAATACTATATCTGACTTTAAAAATTTCTCATTAGGAAATAAATTTGTCAGATAGTCCCATGATATACAAAACTAAGAGAGCTTTCTATTAAATAAACTCTCAAGTAAGCATAGACTTATCCACTTATTTTATTTTATTTTACAATCTTAATTTCATTCAGCCGAAAATATAAATTAGGCACCATAAAAATCCCATTAAACTTAATTTGTTATCGTGAGATTGCACGTAATATTTCCTATTATTGTGATTCATCTCTCCCATTTATTCATTGGAACCATTGAATACGGCACGGCACACCTATTGCTATTTCGATTATTTCACATTTCTTATGCAACGTCAATTCCCATGTTTTTCTCTAAACGATTCTCCACCTCACCATGGCACAGAGTTAAGATTAATATTACATTAGCAATAGTTTAAAATATCAGGCATACTCTGGATTACTTTATGAGCCTCCAATATTTAGTATACTGTATAATAGAGTGACGATCATAAATTAATACCAGTATAGGGATAAGAATCATTAATTATATATTTTGAATTTATTAATTATTAATTACAGATAGTGATCATGCGATATATCGTATGATACTCATCATTAGCCTTAACTACGTCATGAGATCCTAAATAGAGAGATTTGATAAATTTTATTTATTTGTGACAGTATTTATACATTTCTACATAATAAATATCATCATATGCATTTATTCTTGCTATGAATTTCTATTTATATCTGGTATCAAATAACAGGGCACATTAATCATAATAACTTTAACTGGATATGTTGTCGTGTAACATATTCGTAATTTAAGTAGTTTTTAAAATTGGCTTCTATTATAATTTATTTATTGCATCATCTTGAAAAACT